TTTTACTTTAGCGGATCAGTGATGAGTATAGTAGGATGTACCCAATTTAAACACATTCATTTATGATGATGATAGTTTTATAATAGGCCATACACATAAATTATGGTTACCTTAAATGGCTTCACTGCTAAAAATCGGAATAAAATAGCTGCCAAAGGAAGACATTTGTTCACTTCCTATTCACTTCTTTCCAAATCTCGCTGCTGTAGAAAGATATGGTCGTGAGAATGGCTGTGTTTGGAGATTCCCAAGTGATTTTGATCACCTCATGATCCTAAACGTGCACCTAAATTGATGTACAGACAACCACAAAAGTTTGCAGAACATGCAAGTGCGTGTCAAACAGCTTGTCCGTGCCACCTAACGGTACCCCATCGACCACAGTGCAGGGCCGGAAATGGGTCATATTGTTATATTTACCGGCCTTTCTATTTTCTGCTGCCACACCGGATATTGTGAGTTCACAGTTCTTACCGTCACACTTCTACTGTGACAGCAGAATCAAAGATGTCATGGTGTACCTCGAAAGGCATACCCTTGGAAAGATGCCACTTCCAACGAAACATTGCTACTGATCTGGAGACTTATGCAACTAGATGTGGCTACGGAATAGCGCATCCCATTAAAACGTGAAGGATGAAAAATGTTTGTGTCCGCTCTGAAAACAGGACATGCATTAAGGGATGCGCCTCAGGCACTGCACTCCTCTCGATGGCTGCTGATGTAGCGAAAATGATGCTAAGAGGCTTTTCTCCACGTGCTCGTGTGGTCCTTTTGTGGTCGACTGTAGCTTTTGTGGTCGACTGTACGCAGTTGTACATACATTTTGCCTCACCCCAATGCAGCTGCTACGGCAGGGCATGAAATCCATGTTCTCAGCAACTATGACACGCACTACAAATTTCTGCTTCACAGTACACAGCGGAGGAATGCTCACATCCCTGTCACATCACAATTGGAAAGCTGGGTTCAGATAAAAATAAAACTTTATTTACTGCACATAGAAGACCAATCACTGTAGAGTGGGTAAAAAGACACTAGGACAGATGCGTTAAAACATGTATAAAACAGTGATTCACCGCTAGGTCGTGCAATGTGGTTCGATCACTGGGATGGCAAATAGCACATTAAAAATGGACGGATGATTGTGGCACACAGGGCCATGAGGCACTAATAACAATACTGCGTTGGACAGCCACAGCTACGCATTGCTCTAGAATCGCATGCCACAAGAATGAATATTGAATGGTTTGACACCACAACATGACTCCAGATGTATTTCCACAAAAAGGTGCCAAGAATTTGTGAAACCACTGCAGAAGTGAAGTGGCCGCAAAACAAAAACCTTGTCAGTGCTACATTATCTGAGGTCATGCCTTGCCTTGCAGCGTTAAGAGTATCCCGTGCCTTTCTGTAAGCTTGCTCTCTAACTTTCCAAGATAGCTGCTTAAGGGGGGACACGGGTCTTTGGCACCGAAAAATCGCGAAAAAATCGAATTTTCGAAAATGTTATTTTTGGAATCTACCCACATTATTGTCTTTATACGAAAAATATCATACCTGAAACGCATCTATTTCAACCGCAATATGACTTTTTTGCATCAATTTGTGTAGATGTAAAACGGAAAATCGCGCAACTTCAAAAATGCGCAGCTCTCGTGCCACAGCCGCCCGCGCCGCTACTTTGGTCTCATTTGAAAGAGGAGCCGTTCCTCTTGAATTTTCGCGCCCTAGCGCCTTCCTCCATTCACTTGTGTCGGTGGAAAAACGGCGCAAAAAAGTTGTAAAACGGCTGTGCCTATTGGCGGTTCCAGACACGTGACAAAAGCTAGCTACGCGATTGGCTGAGAGCATCGTCTGCAAGCGCGAGTGCGTCGTTGAGGCAGCTGCCATTTTCTCCTGCCGCCCGCATTGCAAAAACGATGCCACCGAGAAAGTTTGCGCGCGACCATAAGTACGGGAAGAAGAGAAAAAGTCGCATATACTTAACATTAGAAAAGTTGCGGAACGATCAACTGTCGTCGAGGATGGCGTGGACGCCGAAGATGAGCGACCGCAGGCATCGAACAACGGAGCCGCCGAGCTGACCGAGGAGCGCCCTAGAGGAGTAGGCCTAACGTGCCCAACAACGAGCGCCCGCGACCGCTACCCCGACGTCGGCCGCGTTCGTCGTGACACTGTTATCTTGGCACCTACAGATATTGATGAGCGGCAGAACAGGGCCGAAGAAAAAGTGAAAGAGCTAGCATCGACTGCCGCAACGCAACGAAAGGCGGACTTGCTGGCTGCGAGCGACTCCGGTGCCTGCCCGCTCGACGAGACTTGTTTCACCGTGGTGTGCTTGGATTTAGTAAATACGCTTCTCCAGCACATGAAATGCAAGGTATGTGGTGGAGACGGCAAAATTTATCAGGACGAGCGCGAATATGGCCTTGCAGTGAAACTGGTGCTTTATTGCAGCAATTGCGGCGATAAAGCAACGGTTTGGAGCTCGCCGCGCGTGGACGGGGACAATAAAGTGAACCCGTTTGCCATAAACATTCTGGCCGCGCGCGCGATGCAAACTACTGGCAACCGACAAACAGCGCTGAATGATATTTTCGCCGCTATGAATATTTCTCACCGCGGACTCCACACGAAAACGTGGCAGGCCTACCAGAAGACGAAGTTGACGCCGGCCGCGATGCGCGCGGTTGAGACGCAAGAAAAAGAGAGCGTGGAGGCGGTCCGGAAATTATACAGCGAGCTCGATGTGGATAATCCTGGTAATATCGCAGTGTCCTTCGACGGGTCATGGATGACCCGCGGACATACGTCCCACATTGCTATTGGCGCTGTCATTGAGCTATTCTCCGGGCTCGTCTTAGACCACGTTGTATTGAGCAACTTCTGCGCTGGTTGCGAACGTGGACCTAAACCAGACGACCCCGACTATGAAGAGTGGAAGGCCACTCACAAATGCCAAAAAAACTCTGACAAGAAGTCGGGTGAAATGGAAGTTGAGGCTGGCCTTATGCTCTTCAAAAGATCTTGGGAAAGGCACAAACTAAGGTACACAACTGTTTTGTCTGACGGCGACAGCAGGACGTTCCTCGCCTTGAAGGAGGCTGAAGTGTACGGATACATCGACATCGAAAAGGAGGAGTGTGTCAACCATGTACAGAAGCGTATGGGGACAGCCCTTCGCAATCTGCTGGCAAAACAGAAGGGGTGTGATGCCCAACCTCTAGGTGGAAAGGGGAGGTTGACTGGGGACCTAGTAAACAAACTCAGCTCGTACTATGGCTGGGCAATAAAGTCTCATAGTAACGACATTGAGGCAATGGAAAAGGCTGTGATGGCAACTTATCATCATGTGACATCCAACGACAGTCAATCGAATCACAGCCTTTGTCCTACTGGTCCAGATTCCTGGTGCCGGCAAAATTCTGCGAAAGCTAAAGGAGAGCCAGCGCCAGGACATCGTTACAACCTCCCTGATAATGTGGCAAAGGCTCTGCTTCCCATATACCAGCGCTTATCTGAGAGGAAGCTTCTCGAGCGGTGTGTGCGCGGCAAAACACAAAACAGCAATGAGAGCCTGCACTCGCTAGTGTGGTCACTCGCCCCAAAAGAGCAGCACGCATCTCTCTTCAGCATTGAGGCAGCTATGGCTGAAGCTGTCATGATCTTCAATGCAGGCCGTGAAAGAACTTCTACAGGAATTTTGCACGAACTATGCATGAACCCTGGTCATCGAAGCGTGAAACGCATGCGAGAAAAAGACCAGCGGCGATCTGTTTCATCGGCCTGCAAACGTGCATCTGCAGACAGTGTGCAGCGGACACTGCAGAAACGACATAAAGGTGGTGGGGGTCAAAGTGACTATGCCCCTGGAGCATATTAGTAATTTGGAAGTGAAATTTGTGCATTTGTTTTTATTCTTGTGTGTAAATAAAGTGTGTGTTCGTTTTCTCATTTTTCTCAAAATGTAAATAATTGGTTTTCACAGCACCAATTCTGTGATATCTCAGCTCCAGATGCAGATATGATGATAATTCTTTTTGTACCACTTAGCTGAATGAGTATAGCAGATAATGTTGCAAGCAGATTTTTAAATTTCCTTTTCACTAATTTTTTATATGGAGCAATCGCTGACATAGTCATTGCCTTACACTGCGTGCTCATGTTCAATAGCCTATAATTTTGGACCCAGTTCCACGATTCAAAATCTGCTTGCAACATTGTCTTCCTTATGATTTAGAGAGTCTAAAAACATGCTAGCCAAAAAGTTTTGATAAGTGGTTACTTTTTAATTGTAATACAGCACAATGGCAATTAATTTCTCATTATCTCAGGAACTAATTAGGCTAGAGGAAAACTAATTGCATTTTTAGAATCTGCTTAAAAACCTTAAGAAGCATGCCGATTTTCATCAACATAGGCCAGGTAATAAGAAAGTTGATTTCAGGTGCAGTGTCCCCCCTTAACTCAATGTTCCATTTCTCCGTGAATGTTGTGAATGTTCCAGCGATTAAATTACTGTTGTTGAACACTGTGCTTCCCACCGTGCTCCATGGTTGACACCGTATTGATGGTTGCACATATATATACATAGTTTACATGCCACAAAAGTTTTAGAATGCTACCGAGAATCATTTTATGCAGTTACTGTGGATTATCGTTTAGGAAACTGTCGCACAAGTGAAACAATACTTATGCTGGCTAACGTGAAATTGAGGTCGAAAACATAGAAGGGGTTGTACCTCTTATGGTCGGTGGGTATGCAACTAAATAGACTTATGCTTTCAGCACTACCCTTTCACAATTTCACCCCACTCCATCTTCTCCATATTCTCATAGGCGCGTTCCTCCATTAAGATTTCTAACCGTCATTCAAATAAATTGTTAATACTTACATAAAATAACGAAAATGTGTAGGTTTGACGGCAAATAAAAAATCTTTAAAGGACCTGCGGACAATTAACAGCTCAATGCACACATTAAAAGTGCTGAATTGATGATAGCATTCGAAGGCGAACAATATGGATGCAAGGGAAACACCGAAACATGGTTATGCATTCCGGGGATGAATATTCATGCAGCCTTGCGAGTGTAATGATTTCTTGGAAATGAATGCGCCTCAACTAGTAGCGACCACAGATTCAGTGATGGCAATCAGCTTCTAAGAGAAGCATAAAGTTGCTTAACTAACTTTGCGAAATCGACTTCCTTATTTGCAATCAAAATAAGCTACGACTTGGCATTTACTGGCCTGAAGAATTTGCCATAAATAACAATGGTTTTACCGGTTTGCCGTCTGAAACTGAAAAATCTTTGTGGAATGAGTTCGCTTATGTGAACATCACCGAAGTATCACTCCAACGTCACGGGTAGTTCAAGCTTGACATCACACATCATTCATTACACCAGTTATGCTTCTGTATGATACAGCAAACACCATATTGCTCCCTTTAATATGTGAAAAATATGCACACGAAAGTAAATATGAGATTCCACATAAAAGAAATGAAGATCGTGTTTGATACAACTTTCATCACATACGGTTAACAAAAGATCTTGTACACGAGACAGGCATACTGTACAGATGTGTAAATACATATGTATATGCATTAGAAGAAACAATCTGGTGTTATATTTCAGATCTATTGGGGGGTAAAGGGCATGAAAATAGCTATTTAATAAGAAGCAAGAACTTGCGTAGACAATTGTCATGATCTGGACAGCAAGCTCACTTTAGTTTCAATGCTGATTGATATGCTATAATGTACAACGGTACAGAAATGCATTAACGCATTGTGATGTCAGTTATAATGATCTGACAGCCACGTTATCTGAACATTTTAAAATGTATAATGTCGTAAGTGTAATGTCAAATCTGAAAGGAGTTTAGATGGACGGAATGAAATGCATAAACACTCTCGACCACTAGATTTATGCCTAATGCGATGTTGGCCTGTAATATGCTGCTGCTGAAACATAAGCCATAGCTTCAGACTCCACACAGACAACTGCGTCACAGCCGTAGTCCTTTCTGTCCTAAAGCGGCAACATCAAACAGCTATTACATAATACTACAGGCAAAAAAAGTGTTGCAACATGTCATTCATTCGAGATTACACCAAAAAGGAAGGAACAACACAAAAACATTGCTCAAAAAAAAAAAGAGAGAGCTGTACAGTAAAGACTAGCCACATGATAAGAACCATGGGCAGTGGTGTAAAAAGCCACAAGCATTTCACTCTCTGCAGTTGCCCTGTTATGCAACTTGGAATGTTTTGTTACATAATGCAACAGAAACATAGTGTTCTGGCGTGATGCATGTATAATAAAAATAACGAGCACCACTAGGCAGCATACGCTGTTAAAATTAAAATGCTGCCAAGTAAGATCTTTCTTCCCACTTCTCATTGCACACACTAACACGCTGCACATTTGTTTCGACATTACAAGATTTTGGAGTGAATGACTTGACATTATTTTGATTGACAGTGCAACTGACTGGTTAGTAGGACTTCATCAGAGTGACCTCTGGACTATTAGACAGCCAGCAATCGTAAAGTTCAACACTATTCTGAGATTCACTCGTGCAAACTCATAGAAATGTCTTTACAGTCCATTCTAATCAAAAAGCTGATATTTAGATCACTTCTACTAGCTATCAGCTTGCCACTATGTGCTAAATGACAGAGTGCCAGAGTTTCTAAGCTGCTGCAACAACTGAATGAACTAAATTATCAGGTTTGGCATTAAAGCCAAAACTGGAAAATGAGTGACAATACCAATTTCAACTTGCTACCTAGCTGCAGGTTCGAAGGCAAACGCAGTTAGAAGTCCTTCGATTGGCCTTCTTTCACCAGGTCGAGAAACGGAGGTAAGGCAAGCAGTGACTACTTGGAAATTCCGTACAAATGTCACCCATAGCATTGCTGTATGCTTGTTTTTTCTCGACTTCACGCTGAGAGAGAACTACTAAAGGATGCTGATGCTGATAATGAGTTCCCTTACCTTGTTATGTGGGCGGGCACTTAAATATTTGAGCTTTCACAGAATGTGTTTTAGTACATATCGGGAAAGTATTCGCGAAATCTTTCTGCATCTAGATGGAAGCTTTAACTAGCTTCGCGCCGACACATTTGCAAACAGAGTACATATGTTTTGAGACTGCACAGATCAACTGCCTCAAAACCATCCTGGCCAATACACTCCGCTGAAATTCAACATCTGCGTCGTCTTAACGCAAGCACAAGTACGGAATCTTGGCCCTTCGATAATGAGTGTTCGGACACATCACAAGCACAAGACTGAACATGCACGGCACGGACAAGTCTCTTTTAAGTCTTGAGCCTCTTCAGGTCTGCAGCATAGGACAATTGTCTCGCCAACTGCCTTGCAGTCACAACAATAAACGCAGACATGCCAAAAGCACAAGGTGTACGAACGACAGGTGGCCGGTGAGGCCAGTTGCTGAGCCCATCAGAACTGCTGCCTGCTCGGCAATCTGCTGGTATGGATTGGACCCGTCGTCAAAATACATGGGACAGTCATCATCTGGAATACAGGCAGAGAAAAATTACTTTAATATTCCAAGCAAGCCCCTCCACCCTAGCAAGCTTCTCTTTCGATTTCGCTGATAATTTTGAATGTCCACACCTCTCCCGAAAAGCGTCCCCTCTTTCACACCCCGATCATGCACCATGTCTATGCAGTACTGACCTGCATCGAATCCTGCTAAGCGGCCCAGTCTCTAGGTGCCAGTGCCTGCAATTAGCCATTAACCTCACGATTCCCCCCCTAATGATCACACCTTGAACTTATCGCAAAACACCCAACATGATCTTCAGGGTCTCATGAGCCAAGCATACGGTCTTCGAGATGTGCATTGCAAAATGATACATATAGCGATGTAGCTAGCTAAAGTAAGGCCTTTGAGATATGTTAGCTATTGCATACTCTTATAATCCTAGGTGCTTCCACGCCATGCTTCCGCAGTTTTATTGCATTGCCCTCATGTTTTTCTTTGTGCTTGTCAATCCTCATTTCAATTCACCGTGCAAGAGAACTTCTGAGGAAGTCTACATGCACTTGTTTTTGCTGGAGTGAAGAGGGAGGCTGGAGGAGCGCTTGCTAAGAGGTACTTTACGGTAAGTATATTCATGTTTGTTAGCTAGACACCACAGACAAGCCCTAAATCCATCAAGACAGCTTGTTCTCAAACAACGTTTGAAGCTTTTAGGGTGAAACATCACAGAAACGTAGCACTGATACTTACGTTCACGTTCATACTCGACCATGTCCAGGGCGACTTCGGCACCCTCGGTGTAGTTGTTGGACGTGACGTCTTGCAAGACGTGGCAAAATGCTCCCACCGACTGGGACATGAGGATGCGGTTCAGATCTGCTCGTTGGTACACCTGTGTAAACCGGCCAAGGTACTGAATTTAGCACCTCTGGTCAGGGCAAGCCCACTGTCAAAGTGCAATGTCCATGTGTGTAACCGAATGTCTCAGCCACGCACTTGAAGGGGGCTGGCAATAGTTTCTCAAGTAAATGTCGAATTACTTTATTAAGAGAGATTATTACCTCCTGATTTGAATGCAGCAAAACTTCTTACGATTAGTCATGTACGAGCAGAGCTCCAGGGGTTTGTGACATGCTTCAAGTGCTTTTGCCCTCTTTTCATATTAGCGAGCACGCTAAAAGGTACGCATACAGGGGAAAACGTGGAGGCAAGAAGATGGTTTCATTTGTCAGCAATCGTCATGACACTGAGAACTTTTTGTCACCCCCCACTGAGGAGCGAAGCTCCTAAAGCCGTGGGTTTATTCATGCAGGTCTGTGCCCGATTCCTAACCACCTAGTTGTATGACTCACGGAGCAGGTAGCGCTAGTGTGAATGACAGACGGACGGACGGATGGACAGATAGATGGACGCATGGACGGACACACGGATGCACGGATCGACACACGGACGGGCGGAAGCAAGAGCAAACGAACGGACTGACAGACGTAGGAATGCTTCGCCCCACTCATTATCATTGACTCTGTGGATATTGTCACGTAAGAGTGAGGGTAGCCCGAAGACAGGAGACCGGGAGGCTAGTAGAAATAGAAGGAGATCCGTTTATTTGGCGGACTTGCACCCACTAAAGGAAAACAGACACATCGGCTTAGCGGGTGGCAAACAGCGTGTTCGACGGCCGTCGGGGAACAGAATGTCCCACTGGATCGCAAGGCGCGTTCACCATCCGAGATACAGTCGCCGTAGCGTCTGGCGCTATCTCGTTATCAACGAATGGTCGACGTGCGGGCCATGATCTTCGCAGATGAATCGCGGTGCATCCTGGACCACGATAAGGCCGCGTGCCGGTAGTATCGGCATGCGCAACACTATCCGCCATACGCCTCGCGGCATTGCTCCCCTCCTCAACGTAAGCATCGACCCGATGCTTTGTTTAAAATAAAACCAAAACAAAAGGACAGCCTGTGCGAAGGTAAATGTCAAATAAGCACGAATCACGCACACATAAACAAAACAAGAGATGCAAACAGGGACCCTCCTTTAGCGCGCATGATAGGGCTTCAAACGGGCGACGTGTACCACTTCTTGTCGTGCGCGGCGTCGTTGGGATGAGCTAGCCCCATCAGGGACCACTTCATAGTCCACTTCACCCACTTGACGGATGACTTTGTATGGGCCGAAATAACGGCGCATGAGTTTTTCACTTAATCCTCGGCGGCGAACGGGCGTCCAAACCCAGACTCTGTCACCTGGCCTGTATGTTAAATCGCGTCTCCGCAGGTTTCGTCTCCGCAGGCGTCTTGCGTCGTTTCGCTGTTGGTCTTTTATGCGCAGACGAGCAAGCTGTCGGGCTTCTTCTGCGCGCTGAAGGTAGGCGGCCACGTCTAGGTTGTTTTCATCGGTGACATTAGGCAGCATGGCGTCCAGGGTAGTAACGGCATCCCTCCCATGGACGAGATTAAATGGTGTCAGTTTAGTGGTCTCCTGCACCGTGGTGCTGTAGGCGAAGACCACGTAAGGCAAAATTAAGTCCCAGGACTTGTGTTCTGTGTCCACATACATAGTGAGCATATCGGCAATGGTCTTGTTCAAGCGTTCCGTGAGACCGTTTGTCTGCGGATGGTACGCAGTTGTTCTTCGGTGATCTGTATGACTGTAATGTAAGATTGCCTGAGTAAGATCAGCCGTAAACGCCGTTCCCCTGTCTGTTATTAGTACCTCAGGGTCGCCATGACGGAGGAGAATTGATTCGACAAAAAATTTGGCAACTTCTACGGCTGTGCCGTTCGGAAGGGCCTTAGCTTCAGCGTATCGGGTAAGGTAATCAGTGGCCACTATGATCCACTTGTTACCGGATGTTGATGTGGGGAATGGTCCAAGCAGGTCCATACCAATCTGTTGGAATGGTCTCGACGGGGGTTCAATTGGCTTGAGAAATCCAGCTGGTTTTGTTGGAGGTCTCTTCCGGCGCTGACATTCACGGCAACTCTTGACGTACCGCGCAACCTCTGAGGAGAGGCCGGCCAGTAGTATCGTTCTTGAATTCTGTGGAGTGTGCGTGTAAAACCGAGGTGGCCTGCAGTGGGTTCGTCATGTAATGCTTGTAAAATTTCTTCTCTGAGGCTGCTTGGGACGACAAGAAGGTAAGCTGCCTTATTCGGTGCGAAGTTCTTTTTAACTACCACCCCGTTTTGCACACAGAAGGAGGATATCCCACGCTTGAACAGTGCAGGCGGTATGGAGGCCTTTCCTTCGATGTAGTTGATCAACTGTTGTAGGATCGGGTCTGAGCGCTGCTGTAATGCAAAGGTGCTGCTGCTGATAGGCCCAAGAAAGGCATCGTCGTCTTCATGGCTTGGTGGTGCGCCGACAGGGGCTCTTGAGAGGCAGTCTGCGTCGGAGTGCTTACGACCAGGGTATGCACAAAAACGACCTTAAAACAGCCACTGCAGAGAACGAGGACGCTGAAGACACAGATACTCGAAGCAGTCACCGCCTCCGAAATCTGCCACCTGAGCTGGGACCGTTACCGGACCCCACGCGACCACGAAAGGACGCTTCCACAGCCACCATGAGTACCCCGCACCTCCACCAGATGTCACGTAAGAGTGAGGGTAGCCAGAAGACAGGAGACCGGGAGGCTAGTAGAAATAGAAGGAGATCCGTTTATTTGGCGGACTTGCGCCCACTAAAGGAAAACAGACACATCGGCTTAGCGGGTGGCGAACAGCGTGTTCGACGGCCGTCGGGGAACAGAATGTCCCACTGGATCGCAAGGCGCGTTCACCATCCGAGATACAGTCGCCGTAGCGTCTGGCGCTATCTCGTTATCAACGAATGGTCGACGTGCGGGCCATGATCTTCGCAGATGAATCGCGGTGCATCCTGGACCACGATAATTAATTTGAATTTTTTGACCTTTTTTTTTCGTTTTTGACGTTTATTGTTTGTAATTTTGCTCATGTAACCCCCCCTATGTGATACCCTCTCACGAGGGCCTTTAGGGGTATTATGAATAAATAAATAAATAAAAGGCCGCGTGCCGGTGGTATCGGGATGCGCAACACTATCCGCCATACGCCTCGCAGCAATATGCTGTGTTTTTTTTTTTTTTTGTCTTCAAACGTGTCGCTTACTTTCAGTGTGACCGAGAGGGTATGTGCGAGTATCCGGTAACATTCTGTGCCGGCAACGGTGACTAAGCAGCGCACAATGATCAAATCAGCCAATGGTCCTGGACCTTGGGCTTATGGCATAGTAATTTGGGTTAATGGCATCATTTGTTGATAAGAGGGAATTACTTCTAGCTGACTTTGAGAATTAATTGTGAATGAACTCCAGGTTTCCTGCTGCACTATAATGATTCGTTTTCTTATTCTTCGGAGCCTCGACTATTGGTCGGCATTTTATGAACATGCTGAAAAAAAGTTGGCGGGCTTCTTTACAGGGTCGAGAAAATATCACATCAGTCATCACTCGGAACGAATAGCAGAAACTGTTTTTGCTCCTGTATATAGAAGGTGCTCTTGAGGCCGAAATTCAATATTGCTCCAGAACTTCAAACTACCACCTCCATCGCAGCTCAGCTGTACGTTTGAAACAGTGAACTACCAGTGTTTGTACAAGGTTACCAAAGCGAAAATGCAAGGATATTCAAGGACTTTCCAGGACTTGTTGCAAGTTTTTCAAGGACGCAAAGCGGCATGTGCTAAGTTGGAATTTTTCATTCTAAAATTTTCAAAAATGACCAATGTTATTGCACTTACAATAAGTACATGAATATCGCAATCATAAAAAAAGAGCGTAATTTTATTAGCTTGTCGCACCCTCTCCCACACTCTCCATAGGGAGATCCCTCGATGCCATGTCAGAAAGTTACGCGCTGATAGGCTTCATCGCACATGTAGTCAGGCCTTAAAGGGGTCGTGCTACAATATTTGTGGCTTGCACGCTCTTTGCTGCAATCTTTAATTATAGCTCCAATAATTAAGCACGAAATGTGCACCAAGATTCATTTAGTCTCGCTATATAATTTGCCGCCTTTTTGATACGTACAATTTCCAGTTCCCGTTTATTGGGAAGGTACGTAGCAGTGTAGCTGACTTAGTCACACGATCACAAAGCTTTGCGCGCGTCATGCTGAGTATTGTCAGCTCTCGCACGCATGTGCCACACAAGCACCTACAAAACAAACTCGCCGCTACCTGCAGCCGCCGCGATGGTTTGCCGATATGTACAGGGCGGAAGTCCGGCGATCACTCATCTGACTTGAGATCTGGTGTGACATAACTAGAACTTTCGTTGCCCTTTCTATAGAGCTACTGTCAGTGTTGAACGTGCTCGCGATGGCCCTTAATTAGGAGAATGAGCTTTTAGGTACGCTTGGGAAGTGACTTGAAATATATTCTTAAACCCACACGGTGCCTTGAAATTTGATGGCACCACCCCATCAAGAGTGTCGGCTTGTGCACAGTTGACACTCGCAGCACGTTGCTCAATAACCAAGAAGTAACAACTGTGACAGTGGTTAGCTTACACTCATCCTGTGGATACATGAGCGTTCATTTCTAGCCCCCTTCTTGGTTTGTTCAAGCAGCACGCTTCCAGTGTCAAGCTGTGATAGTCGTTCATCAGCACTCGTCCTGTGCACTTTTTTTTCGTGCGTCCTTCGTGCTTAAGTGGCGCGTTGCTTGTATGGGGTTGCTTGTTCTTCTTCAAGTGACATTCTAATTTCTTGCTATCACATTCACTGCTTCACCTTCGTCACAAACTAACCTTTTTCACATGCACTTTTGTGAAATGGGGTCATGTGCACCCACGCCGCATTACTGCTTCAGAAATGGGGAGTTTGACAGGTTGACACACCAATGTACCACACTTAAGAGGTCTCGATGCCGATATGAGAGTGCACTGCTCAGAAAATTCAAGGATTTGCAAGGATGGCAAAAAATTCTAGGACTTTCAAGGGCCTTGAAAATGCATTTTTTAAATTTAAGGGTTTTCAAGGATTTGAAGGACCTGCACGAACCCTGACTACACTCGGACATACAGCTAGTGCTCAAAATTAAATTTCACAACTTTCGGGCAACTGCACAGAGAAATGGGGTGACAATGGTGTGAAAAATTAAAAATGAAAAACAAAGCTATCTTACCCAACACCGATATTTGCTGTAAGCGTCCTCCTCGTTGTAGGTGATGAGGTATGACCGCAAGTTTTCTTTCCAGAACGCAATGCACTTGAGCTCGTAGTCAGGTTCACCTAAGCGGAAGAATTGCAGTACCCACACAAATGAACACGCAGCTTATAGAAGGCCCTGCATCCTAGCTAAAACAGCAATGGTTAAACAGCCCAGGTGGAGTACTTCTCATGGCAAGTGATCATTTATGTTCAATATATGTTTTCTCTTTGCGAGCGCTGTCTTCGCTGTTTTGTTTGACCTAAATTCGAGGTTTTTTGTTTTGTTTCGGGCCGTGAACTTTTACTAGTCTGCTTAGAATTGGGACCAGCGTAGATTCAAGTAAATACGGTATATTGCAACTTCGTGCATGACTGTAATTACACTAGGAAGTTTTTCCCCAAAGAATGAATAATAAAAAATAACTTTTACACTTCACTTGCATTAATGTGCAGTCACAATGCAAATGAGAGAAGATAAAAAACAGGAAAGAGAAAACAAAGGACGAAAGTAGGCAATGTTGTTATGTTCTTACTTATATTTATGCCATTGGGTCACAAAGTCCATTTAAACAAAAGCATGGCAATAAAAGCACCGTGATGTTCACTGACAGCAAGCTTCGTGCAAAAGCCAATGGAAACTAAGCCAATATTTGCCAAAACCTATATTCGCCAAAACCAAATCTCACATGAACAGTTTTTTTCCGCGCACCATAAAAGAATGGAACTCTTTACCTGTTCACGTCATACAATCGGAAACCTTTACAAAAGAATTGGAAAACCACTTCTCTTAATATTTAGTGTTTAAACATTTCTTGCATTTGTGTTGTGCATCTCACGCGTCTTGCACTGTACGTTTTTCTTCTTGCATTGTAAGTCTTTTTGTGAATGCCTTGTCATTGTATTATTGTATTTGCCCCTCCTGCATGGGCCAGCATATTGGCCTGCAGTATCGATAAATTAATTAATTAATTAATTAATATGACGAAAAGCATAGGCATGCACAGGGTTGTTCATTGGGGTGTGTAGCAAGTTTCACTGCAGTGTAGGACCCCCCCTATGGGTGGTTGAGTTCGAAGGAAAACAAGTTTTGAGGTGAATGCACTAATAAAAATTAAGCAATGAGGTGCTTCACAACAAAGCTTGCCACTGATTTTTGTTGGGGGGGAGGGGGGGGGTAAATGTGTGAACTAAATAGTTCTTGGAATGCGTGCACCAAAATATCTCAGCTGCTACTGCATCCAAAACCTTCTTTCTATAACTCTATACTATAAACAGGGGGGGGGGGGGGCACAAATAAAGCACCTAAGACTCTCGTTTATTTCTTTATCGATTTTGATGAAAATTGGTTAACTTATGTGTGTTTGTGTGTTATTTCAAATATGCAGTTATTTTTGTATCATGACGAGTAGTTTTTATAATACAAAATATTTCATGTACTTTTTATAAGGGCTAGTTCTTTTCTAAAGTGAGAAAGTTACAGAGTGATTAAGCATACCACAATAACTTGCAATCTGACTTGTGTACAGTGAAACAAAAATCATTGTTCTATACCTAATAGAAGAAAGATTATGCTTTGTTGAACATTTGCCAGTGAAATCCCAGCTTGAAATGGCCTGCTTCGCGAATGTTCAACATATATAACATTTCTTTAAATGGGTTTAGAACATCCATTCTTGTTGCACAGCACACAGTTCTGACTCCAGATAACTGTGATATACTGATTTATTTTGTAAGTCTCACAGTTCAGAAAAAATGTTCCCTAAAAGGCAAATCTTGTATTTTAGAAGCTACACTTTATACAAAACAATTTATTGTATATTTTAAATCAGCACACAAGTATGCATGAACACACCAAGTTTCATCAAAATCAATTAGAAAATAAAAATTTTCCATGAGCAGTGAGAGAGCAGATTTGACTCGTACGGTATGGGGCAGGCTTGGTGCCTCCAAGCCCTTCAGATGAATAAGGGGAGGTAACCGCCCCACCCTGGCCCCCTTGTGCACACACTGCCTATGTTGAACAGACAAACAAGCGGCAGGAACAATGCCTGCACGGTAACTCACTGTAGATGTCCACAGGCCGGCCAAAGTAGTCGACAGAAATGCAGTAGTTGGCATCGATGAAGATGATCTTCTGATCCTTGTCGCACACAGAGAAGTCGGAGATGTTCTCCTTGCAATAAACATTGGGCCGCGGAATCTGGGTGACCCCTCCGCGGATTCGCGTTTCAAAAGGTATGTCGCCTGTTTGGTCGAACCGAAACTTGCCTGCCACCTGGGCACTTGATGGAGACAGGCTCTCTCGCTGAAAACACAAATATACAAGATATTCAAAAGTTTGCAAGCACTGATGAAGAACAGAAGACCATCCTACATGCCCTATACACTGCAGGCATTTAAAGCCAGCAGTGTTAGGGTCAATTTACATAACGAAGTCAGGGCAAGTCAATAGGACAGAATGTGTGCCAGGAATGTCGTACTGCTTCACCAAGATAGTACAGTGCAGTCCACTTATACAATGTGCACGTGCCAAGAAAATCCCATTGCTATAAATGGAAACTGTTATAAGAGGGTTGACAAAAACAAAAGGTAGATGATGATCAAACTTTATTTAATTAGCAGAAGGATCCTCCTCCCCTTTCAGGTGCAAGAGGGAAAGGGAGGACCAAACCTAGACGATGGCCATGATCCCATAGGGCCTTGGTGGCGTCTTCGGCCTGCCTGTATTAAGCGGGCTAGTAATTGAGAATCGAGAGGCAGAGGAGCGCGGTATTCCAACCATTCCCGTCAGGGAATTCGGTAGATAAAAAAATTTAATTTGCATGCAAGTAAGGCCCTGCAGCTACGTACTACAGTCGAGCCCACATATAACGGCCCCACTTAAAACGAACTTTCGCTTAAAACGAACAATGCCGCGTGACCGTCAAAATATACATTGGTTTAATGGCACAAAATCGCACTTACAACGAACGTCTCCGAATGCCGCTGATCGGTTACAGCGAACGAAGTCACCGGTCTGCCGACAAAATATACATTGGTTCAATGGCACGAAATCGCACTTAGAACGAACGTCTCCGAACGCCGCTGATCGGTTACAGCGAACGAAGTCACCGGTCTGCCGACTTCCAGGGAAACCAATTTCGACCACCGATCAGGCATCGGCGAGGTGCCCATTTATTTTTATTGTTAAACGCCGATTCTGCCTCCGCGCCCCTCTAGTTGCTGCTCTCCCCGACCGCTTTTTGTTACTCACCCCTTCGTCCTTTGTCCCCCAGCTACTCTGAGCACCCCGCATCGCCAGACGAGGCCCGTGTTTTCACACTGCCATCGATCTTTCGAAAAACAGTCGGCCACGTACCCTGTTTTTGATCGCTGGTACTGTCGTTGGCGTCACCGGCCTGGAGTGACCAGACCATTTGCCAACATCGTCGACTACCGACTGTATCCGATTGTCTGCGTCTAGTGCACGCGCGTACGCTACCCCACCAACTCTGATAATTTGCGATTCGTTTCTTGTTCAGGACTTGTTCTCGCTCACTTCGCACTCGGCTTAGCATGCCTTCTGTGCGCGTGCGGAAGCGCGAAAACGGCTGTTAATTTGCGCGGTATGAATCACGAAATATCGAAGTTCGTGAGGCCACGCAAACCCGCCGGTGCAACAAAACGATTTTTTTTATCACGGCCGCCGATTCTTTGAATGCCGCCGCGCGCACCGAACGAGACGGCCATGCTCTGACTTCTGCGCGCGCTGGCACTCTTTCCAAGTTTTTCTACGTGCGAGTTTCGCGGACCTTTTAAGCAAGCTACCCAACCTGCCTCCTTCCCGTGTGTTTTGGTTTTCAAGGTCGCCATACCGCCGCATCCTTCCCTCTCTTTATCGCACGGAGGAAGGAATCTTTCATTCCTCTGTCTTTATCGCAACTCTTGCCCTTCTCTCGCAAGTATGCTCTCCTCTCTTGATCACAACCCTTCGCCCGTCTCCAACGCTCCACGACTGCCCGCCACGCTGGCTCGAATTAGTTTCGTTTTTTTTTTTCCAACTGGAAACGCGCCCAGAGCTGTTCCACACGTGTGCACGTCTTGCTCGCTCTTGGTGTGCGTGTGTGGTCATGATGGCTTACAGGAGGACTAGCACGCTTTTTCGTGCCGCTCAACAAAACGTCAGAAGTGTGACCTCTTGGCTCGAGTGTATTCCGCGTGTTAGGTGCCGCATTGCTGAGCGCTTGCTCATAGCTTTTGACCACCTGGCAGCCAACTTGCCGCTACGGGCGTCCCGGTATTCAGCTGTGGAGATGGTGAATATTTCGTGGGTGGCGGTGACGGCTACATGTGCGCGAAACTATTTTCGCGAAGCGACTTCGTCGATCGTCGGGCCCGATGCCGAGCCTGAAGCTCCCGAACAGGACCACTGCGGCAGCGATTTGTGGCAGCGCATCGTCAACTCCGACCTGGAGAGCGGGTGGGACATCTGTTGCGATGATTTAATTACGGCAGATGATGATGCCGACACTGCAGACCTGTGCACGGATTGGGGCATTGTGAATGAAGTACGTGGCGAGAAGCGATTTGGAGGAAATCGGATTGCAAGAACGACGAAGCTTTGTTCGGCCTGTGGCATAAGCGCCTCATGCAGCTTATGCCACGGGCCTCTGCGAATGAGCAGCCTGCCGTTTTAAATGAACTCGAGACCGCCCTTATCGTTTCTGCTCTTCGAAACACGTGCATCACGGACTTTTGGGGGCAAAAAAAGTTTGTGTTTTCACTCGCAACTTTTTTTAAAAGCTGTAGTTTCATTTACTACGAACTTCGGGATACCGCGAACGGATGCCGCTGTCACGCTCAGGTTCGTTACAAGCGGGCTCGACTGTAGTTGTTTGCAGAAAAGGCACAGTTTGTCAGGTTTGATTGCTGCATGCATAGCTGGTGCACACCTTTCAGAAGAGCATCTAGCCGCTCTACATAGGAGAGCAAGAGGTCCTTAGCGAAAACAAGGTACCGGAGGGACTGTATAATCCGCCTGACCTCCTGCGATGACAGCGCCTACATAGGCTGCTCAACCGCGTCGTCAGAGTTGTCACCATTACAACTATCCACAGCAGGACACAGTCGGGGCAGAGACCTATTTGCAGCGCACGCTGTAGCCGGATTAAATCGCTATATCCGATACCAGTGGCACTGGAGCATTACTAATAAGTGGTTTATATTACCATACAAAGAATACACAAGAGGATGGTGCTGTTATTGTTAATCGTTATATCGAATATATAGTGATGAATGGTATTGTTATAAGTGGCTGTCGACTGTACAACAGTCCTTGACAAAGGGGTGCTGACCAATTTTTGAAGGCGAGTTGATTTTGCTGTACCAATCTCCTGTATGTAGAGACGTCTCTGCACAAGTGTGAAGCCTCAGTAAATGCCGATAAGGCACATGAGTTTGACGTTGAGGTCAATTTTTGCGTGGGGCCTCACTAACATCAATGCTATCATGACGTCAGGCTACAGCATCGATTGTGGTGACCTCATGCACTAGTATGGCTAGTTGCGATGACGTCAGGTACTAAAAATTCGAAATGTCCACATGTGCGTCCCCAAGGACACTTAAAACCGTGCCTTGTGCGTCACCAACAAAGCCATGAAGCGAAGTGGCTGTGAAAACATCTCAACATCTCGTGTAAATGCGTTACAAGAAACTAACACTGTGTCGTGGCATCAGGTACAGTAAGAACCGAAAGTAGCTTCAAAAAACATTCCGTAACTATTTTTTGATGGTGCACTCATGTTTACTAGTGCGTTTTCTAGGATTTTGAACACTAGGTCTTTCATTTGAAGCAAACAAAATAACAGAAAATTGTGACATTAGCACTTCTTTAGCACAAGATAACATTATTAGTAGGTGTGGATAAGTGAGACGGAAACTTCACTTTTTCAAGTTTGTTTCTTGCGGCTTTGTGTAGATCGCTCAAGGGGAATTGATTAGCAGAACACGCTGCTATTCACATTCTACAGTGACTTTTTTACATGTCTATCATAATCAATCTTTATAATCAAATATGAAAGACATAGAAAAAAAGAAAAGAAAACAAGTGCACCGACTGCCCTGAGTTTACAATGGCTGAAACATTAACAAACAGAGGAAGGTGCGAAGTGGAATTATGCTAGTGCTACTCGAAAGCCACCAAAGCAACTTCATTTGTGTAGTTTTTGTCCCCCTCACTAGGTAGTGAAACTCGTGGATGCATGGAGAGCGATTTCGCGGTCATAGGAAAACAGCGACTCACAGATCAGAATGTCGTAACGCCACTGTTGCTTGTCGGGAACATGGTCCACTGAACAGACAGTCGAGAACACATCGGTGATCATCTCTTTGCCTGTTGTAAGAGAAGACAAAGCACTGAAGCAAGGCAGTAAATACCATTCGCAACGTTAAAGCACAGTAGTAGATACCAAGGTGAACAGCGACAAGATAACTGCAACATCATCTTGAGTACGATGAGTAATAGTTGAGCAGGCAGTATTGCTGGAGCTAACATTTCAATGAGATGACCCATAAAAAGCATGGCTGCACGACATTCCCTGTACAACGATTTCTCATTGATTCTAAGGTGCATCTTTCCCTGTCCTTGTTTACATTACTTCTTATTGCAACCCAATAAGATCATCCGTACTAGTATCGCTAGTAAGTGCAGAATTCCAAATTTCATGCAGTGATTGCATGTGTCAACAATTTCACAAGAAGAAAGATTTTGCAACTGGCTCAGAAGTCAAGGTTGGAAACTACCCCCTTTTTTTTTTCATTCAAGTATGCTAAAAGGCCAAGGCATTACACTGTATTATTCATAGGGAAGACCCATGAACTAATGCTGAGTAAAACAATTTCTTCACATGCAGAACTAAGCAACAATAAAAAAACTAAGCTAATACAGAACTTTTGGTGCAACAACATCAATATGGCACGTGATAAAAAAAAAACCATGCATATTCATGACCTGAAGGCTAATGATGGGGCGAAGCAGTGTGCATCACATCTCGAATTAAGGCCTTCTATTTTGTTCTGGGTAACAGTCTTACATTTCGTTCTTGTTAACCTTATGGTCTGTCATTTCCTTAGATTGACAGGTGGTTAAATGACGATGTTTTATGGTGTTTCAGCCTTTTATTTTATTCTGGTTAACAGCCTTTTGTTACCCTTTTCATTGTTCACATATGTGTCGATTTGTTCACATGTTGCAGTCGTTGCCGTTTTCCTACTTTTATGAAGGTGTGAATTTCTATTTTGTTCTGGTTACCAACCTTTTATTTTGTTCTTGTAAACCTTTTGTTCTGTCATATGCTTTGATTAATGGGTGGTTAAGGGGGGACGCGGGTCTTAGAAAAGTAAAAAAAAAATGGCCAAAAAATCGATTTTGAGAAAAACGTATTTTTCGAATCTTTGAACCTATAAGCACCTCTCCTCAAATTATTAACGCTAAATTCGATAAAAAAAATAGGTTAAAATCTATTTTCAAACCATCACGGGAGTCACAAAACAACCCGCAAAACAGAAAATTTGTTCGAACTTCCCGCGTGCGCCGCCAGCGAAGCAGCCGGCGGATCGGCGCCATCTTGGGCTTGTTTTGAAGCTGGTTCCTTTGTGCGCGTTTTGCGGGCTCTCAAAATGGCATAGCTCCAACACAACGACTGCCCTCCCCCGTTTTGCGAAGCCGTCTGCCGGACCGCTGATTGGCTAGAGCGCGCGCGCGCCGACGAGCCCCCCCCCCCCCCCCCCCCCCGTCTCGCGCTTACCATTGGCTGGCGCGGCGGCGCGGCCACGGTTGCTCGCTCTTTTTTTTTTGTTTGTTTGGTTTTGCTTCGTCGGCGCCTGCTCTCGTGCGTGTTATCTTGTCTGCTACCCGCTCGTGTACCGACGTCGCCGACGTATACGTCTTTCTGCATTTCGCCGGCATGGCTTGGGAAGCTCGCCTGAAGAACACTCGTCAAGCTTTCGGCAGGAAACGAAAGCGAGCGTGGAATGCGCGGCAGAAGGGAGCGGCCTGCGCGCCGCCGAGAACGCCGGAGATGGCCGAGGCAGCGCATTCTGACGACAACGGGCTGTCGGAAATGCCTGTTATTGCGGAGGCAGCACATTCCAGAATCCTAGTGAGAGCTTCCAGACCCAGAATCCTAGTGAGAGCTTACACGCTACAATTTGGCAACAAGTCCCCAAGACCACCCATGCCTCACTGCGCAGCGTAGAAAGAGCAGTGGCTGAAGCCATCAGCCGCTTTAATCAGGGGGCCACAGTGCAGGAAATCTCTTCATGCGTCGTAGCCTTGAAAAGGATAAAACCAGGCTTCACAAATCGCGGAGGGAGCACCTGCAGAGCAGTTCAACAAAGGCAACACTTGCAAAGCGACATAAGCCTGCAAGAGACACTGCATACAGCCCTGGCATGCTGTAGAATTGTAAGGATGTCTGGGACAAAAATGTGTGTTTTACTTGAAATAGTGTTTTATGTATAAAAGGGCGATGTTTTTATATATAACATGTGTCTTCCTTTGGTTTTCAGTGCACTAGAGCAGCCACAAAGTTGTAGACTGGGTTCCTTATAATGATTCAACGGCCAGTACACAGTTTTTAAATGAGCTGTGGCAAATATTTTGGGAAGGTGCATTGACACATTTGGTACAGCCATACTCACATAATGTAGAGCTATACAACGGTGCCATTTTTATTGCTCTAGCTTCACTTTAGCAAAAGTTACAGTTATTAGAAACTTTAAATGCGTTTTTCTCAGTTCGATGTTTTTGTGCACCACACTAAACCTTAGGGGTTTTTCTTATATGTTACTGTTGATTGAGAATGACAAACTTGGTATCATTTTATTTGTAATAACATTACCTATGGGGTGATGCTATTTTGATTACTCTAGAAGCATACTGTTAATTACAATTATGGATAGTAATGAGCGAAAATTGAACAGAATATCCATTGTAAGTGCTGGTCTGTTTTCTTATCTATATAATGCCTAAAAATTAATAAAAATAGCATCACCCCATACAGAAAGCCCTCAGCATTGGGGCTATGCACCTATTTTTTGGATCTGGCTTGATTAAGTTGCCAAAAAGCCCCCAATGATGTGCATAATTAATTAAATTACAGATGTTAATATCTTTTTATCCACTGAAGCTATTTCAGAAACAATTACATATTTGAAATCAGCATGAAAAACTGTCCAAGATGGTGAGGTTTGGTCTAGATTGAGCCAAAAACAGAAAAAAAATTTTAAAGACCCATGTCCCCCCTTAAGTGTTACTGTTTTTAATGGTGTTACATCCTTTTGCGTTGTTTGTTATAATTAACAGCCTTTTGATAACCTTTTTGTTGCAACAAATGTTTTGGTTTGTTCACATGCACCTGCGCTAATCTGCTGTAGATGCCAGATGGCGGTTTACAGAACTTAAGCAGTTTAGGGGCTTCACTCCTAAAAACGTTCAATTAATTAAGCTAACGGCAATCCAAGTAGTATCTCAGACTTTAAACTTACACATAACTTACAAATTCTTGGTATTTAAACAGCACAGCAAAAATGACACAGAGTAATGAATCTGCAATGTATCAGGAAGATGGTAAAATGTAAAAAAAATAGAACAACATGAACTCAAAGAAAGAAATCTTTTCATATAATTTACAAATGCCTTAATACCTGCAATGTCAAACCAGACGCTTATTCCAACAGCCAATAGCAGGAAGTAGCGAGGAGTTAATAGACAGATTATAGTTCAGGCAAAAATAGGCTCCATTTTTAGCCGAGGGTCAAGTTGCGAAAACACACGATAGGTTCTTTTGTTGCCTGTATGAAAACTGACACGTGAGGTCAGTTTTCACTGACCTCACATGGTCAATCATTTTCACTGATTAAATCAAAATTAGCCAACATCAACATCAAGAATGAATTTGGCAACTGTCAAGAACTGATACCGCATAATAACTGTGTAAGTTGGTACAAAGTACTATAAAATTCATTAAAATCTATGATGCAGTGATTCCCATACGATGCAAAGCAAGTTTCAACAATTATAAATGAATCAATCACTTTAGAGTACAAGAAAATAAGTGTTCAGGGGATACAGCTGAGGGAACTTATAGTAAAACCTCATTAATTCGAAGTCAACTTGCAGTTATTCGCCCCGCCGTGGTGGTCTAGTGGCTAAGGTACTCGGCTGCTGACCCACAGGTCAGGGGATACGACTGAGGGAACTTATAGTAAAACCTCATTAATTCGAAGTCAACTTGCAGTTATTCGCCCCGCCGTGGTGGTCTAGTGGCTAAGGTACTCGGCTGCTGACCCGCAGGTCGCGGGTTCAAATCCCGGCTGCGGCGGCTGCATTTCCGATGGAGGCGGAAACGTTGTAGGCCCGTGTGCTCAGATTTGGGTGCACGTTAAAGAACCCCAGGTGGTCGAAATTTCCGAAGCCCTCCACTACGGCGTCTCTCATAATATTATAGTGGTTTTGGGATGTTAAACCCCACATATCAATCAAATCAACTTGCAGTTATTCGAAGTAATCAGGGCTGATTGTCTGCTGTGCTGGCTAGTTTGTGGCTCCAAGGGTTATGTTTCTCCACAATACCTGGTCTTTATTTTCCCACAAACCTAAAGAAACAGCGAGCCTTACTGCTGCTACTGCAAAAAAAAACGAAAAAAAAAAATAAAACGCAGTCATGATCAACTGAAATGCACGCCTGCAGAAAATAAGACGTGCTTCACTGCAATGCAGTGATGACAAGCGGGCAGCATGGTGCTTTCATCTCACTGTGTCGACACTTCATAATGCTACCATTCACACATTCTTTCTGGTAAAATGAAGAATTTTATAATGGCCAGTGTGACAAAACTCTCGATGTTCTGGCTGGAAAATCATCATCATTGAAGCTTTCAAATTTAGTTTTCGAAGCAGGCGTTGCAGGCAAGAACTCCACCAGCAGTGCATGTGCGCAAATTGCTGGAAGGACCAGCAAATCAGAGGTTCGCATACATCGAGAATTTCACCAAGATGTCCTTTATTAAATTTCTTAGCTAGAATGGGTAAATCATAAAGCACAGACATAGCAAAATACATACAATATGCTGCCCCCCCCCCCCCCCCCCGTCACCCCTATGCTGCGGTGAAGCCCGTCTTGTTTTCTGCAGGTGCACGTTTTTGTGGTACAGAGACCGTTTTCTTGCACTGGGAGTAGCGGGACTGTAGTACTTCACCTGCCACTATTCAGTATCGATACATTGCATTGCCTTGTGGCTCATAAGGGCCGTTGTTTTTGCAGATTTGGGGTGAAATCGGGATCGGGAATCCGCACATGGCACACAAAGTTTTCACATTAACTGGACTGGTGCTGACTGCCGCTTCAAGTTAGCCCTTCAGACTTCCATTGCGAAATATGGGACCGCGGAAATATTTCGAATTGAGCAGAATTTCGAAATAATGAGGTTTCAAAGTATTTACTGTTGCTTTAGTGTGTAGTGTAAGAAGAGCTGGAGTACAATACCTTTCCTGTAACGAATGACACTGTGATGACGAGGCACAAAGTTGAAGCAAACAAAGTCCCTCTGGCTGAAAAAAAAAAGACAAAGATCATAGAAAACACTGCACCAGCACGTATTTCCATTCATAAATGAATTATCATGATGGTATTGAGTCAAACAACACAATTTGGCTAAACTGACAAGTTTGTACCATATTTACTCGCGTAATGAACTCACTTGCACAATGAACCCACCCCCACCTTGGTCCTTGAAAAAAAGGAAAAGAAAAAAATTTTTTAAATGTATTTATTCATTTTATTTCGATATGATAGCCAGCGCCCTTAACTATGGAAACAACGTTAAATCAGGCTATGTTATAACAAAATAACAATGCAATAGAAGTCAAAACATAGTTTCGCGACCATGCTAAACAGCTGTGAGCAGCGCAAGCGCGGACGGCGTGAATCAAAATTTGAAAGTCGCTCCTTTTGTGGCAAAGCGCCATCTGTCGAATGCAGGAGTGCTGATAGCACCACGCAAGCACAGTGGCACAAAAACAAAGCAAGAAACAATGCACGTGACCTCCGAAATGGCATGCCCGCGGTGAAAAAACACGCCGCGCGCGCCCCCATCTCGAAGGCCATGCAAAGCGCAACCGCACCCACAACGCCAATGGCGCATCGTGCATCCTGTTATGCCTTGGAGTCCAAGCCGAACTTCATTGCTTCTGCAAAGGCAACAAGCGTTCAAAAGCAGCGAGCCAGCCCTGGCTGACACAATCACCGGCAACGGTGTTTTATGCAACACACGGCAAGCTCCCTCCACCCACGGGTTCAATTCTAGCCTGATGATGCAGTCGACGTCATCTAGGCCGGAGCGTCTTGAGCAACGAGTGGCAATACACCACTCGCCCATGGGTGCTATCCAACGGCAGTACTGATTGGAAGCTGCTGACGCAAGGGTCCCCAGGGCCTACAAAAGAACCAAGTGGCGCGACGACAAGCAGCAGGCGAGAGCATCAGAGCATCCGAAAAATCCTGTCCCGTCGTCGCACCAGAGTGTGAGTTCTTTAAGCTGTCTGCCCCAGTGACAATATGTGCAACGCCTCTGTTTATGCTGCACATAAATGTTGCCTTAACTCACTGTCGCTTTGTGCGCTCCATCTATCAGCTCTGCGCAGAAGCAGCCGCGAGCTGAGACACACGTTTCCCAACAGTGGTGACTAGTGGAGGGTTACCCAACATGTGGATGGCAGTGGTGGGATACCCAACAACCTGCAAGGTCTACTGCAATGTTTCTGAGCCGCCATCCGACTGCTATGATTTTGTAGTCGGGTTTGTCACTGTGAACTTCGTTGGTACACCTGCTGCGCAGGGCACGTTCGGCCAATACGCTAAGCTACACGGCTGGTTACAAACAGCATGCGCTGAAGCATTGGAACCGAGTGGCTAGATGACACCCCGGCGTTGATCCGCGCCCTTTTGTTACAGGAGGAAGCAAAAAGAGCTTTGCGCTACAAAAAAAGATTTGCCGCGCATTTCATGGGTCAAAACAAGCAAAGCCGTTAGCGAAATTTTCACTGTTTTAACTCCCATGACTTTTTTCTGCCGCATAGTAACTATGTACTAAACATACTACGCATTAACCACCAGCTACAAATTCGCATCCCCTGACATGTGTCATCACCGCTAACAGAAGTAGAAACGCAGTGCCGCAGGAAATATTGCCCAAAAGGCCCAGCACAAAGCCATTTCTTTCTTTTTGCTAAGGTACAGAAATGTTTCCGACTCTCGAAGAACCGCCCGATAGCACGCGATCGAGACGCCGATGAGTATTTCGAAACCACCGCGGAATCCCAGATATGCAGCATGGTACAGCCACATAACCATGGAGGAAATAAACAACTTTCCTTCCTGCAGTGGACAGGAACGGACACAATTGGTTGTTCGTGATACAGTTGTTCTACTGGTCTGCTTCTAAGCAAAAACTGACGCAAGTTGTTCTTTTTTTAACACGCTGTACCGTCGCAGAGAGCCAATATCGTTTACTGCATGGCTAGTTGCGTGCAAGCGCTGCGCTCGCTCTGCGCACACCGTGACTGCTGATTCGCTTGCTGCACATGATTTGGTGAGTAGCCTGCTGGGTTAATGCAGGGTGCCGAAGAGCTTTCTGCAAGCAATGTGTTCTCCGCGGTGCTCTAGCAGTCCTGGAAGCAGACGGAGGCACATTTCGGCTGTCACTAAATTAAAAGTGTGCAGCATGGTAACAACAGCAATACGCCCGCTGTGCGGTGCGCATGTTGGCATAATACAGCAAGGTTTTTCAGTGCCTGTGATCCACAACGCTAAACTCCGCAACAGCAAGCTGCTTGCATTTCTGTAAAGTGGTGCCCCCTAGAACACTGGTCCCACAAAACGAAGCGGTAGGCGATCGGCGGCCCAGTGCGTTCAGGTAGCGACCCACTAAAAGCGTGCAGTCGGCCTGAAGTGATGCTACGCCACACGCGTGCCTGAGGCATGGTCTGAAGAGATAACCGCGAATGCTTACTGTGATAAGGCTTTTCGCCAGCGATAAGTCATACCGGTGCGTTTGTGGGTGGTCGCCACCTCGCCTTCGTTTTTTTCTCTGATGGTTACTCACAGCGTCATCGCCGCAATAGCGCGGAACTCATAATAACTTATTGGCTGATCTCCGCACTTATCAACATGACGGAAAACCATTCACGGCACATTATGGCGTCTGCAAGTTCAGCGGAACAGTAAAATTTTGTCGCGCACTATGTTATCGTGGTACACAGTTATTACGCACTAACCGGAATGCATAGGCTGAACACTACGGCTCAAGCGGTCCGCGAATGCATTAGTCTCTATGAGACTCGGTCGGGGATTCGTCGCAACTACGTTTTAATCGTTAGTATGCTTAAAGCGGGTACGCACTAACGAGGTTTGACTGTACTGCAAGATGCCATATAATGTAGAGGTATCAATGATGGCGAGTTTTGTGGTCACACAAACCAGCGTAATAAATAGCTTAAACAGCCCCGCAGCTAAAACACAATGGGACTTTGGTGCACACACTCACCAGCCGTGGATGCCGTGTCGAGCCATGAGGTATCTGTCCTCACGCGCCTCGACGCACACGTAGATCTGCTCCCTGATCCGACCGGTGTCGGGCTTCCAGGTTTCGACTATGTGTGTCTTGTTGATGACGACTAGCGCATCAAAGTTGGCTGTGTTGAGCCAGGTGCCGGTGAAGTTGTCGGGAAGCGTGCAGCTGGGCTGCACAATCTCGGTTTTCACTGCAGAGGGCGGCAGAGTGAGTCATGTGCCGACGTGATCACTTATTGGTTATCAACTCACAAATGATTATATTTATCTGTTCACAATATTCGAGACTCCAAAGCAGCACTGAACTGAGACAGACGCCACAGAACATGGATTAACTTAAACTATTTCGTGTTTGTCACTTTCTTTTTCATACTGCACCATGCCCTTGCTAAAACATTCAATTGGGAATAAACTAGTCCAACAAAATGTCTTTTTTAAGGTCTTTTACTCAATCAGTGTATTAATACAAAGTTTCAAAGCATTTTACTCTAGAAAAAACAGGTTCTAGAAAAAGCTTTTACTATTATGGTTAAATATTTTAAGTTTTTTCTTTGGAGTTTATAGGCCCTGAAATTTCCCTTGTAACAAAGAAATAAAAAACCTAATAAAAAATACGTATCACGTTAGTACTCCCTTAACCCTGCACCAAGAGGTGGTAGTTAGGGAACTAAGCAGCTCTAATTACCAAGGCGTACTCCGTGAAAGCTGTTCGGGAACAGCCACTGGGCTCACCTTGTTCCAAGCGGTAGCGCTCTGGTGACTCTTGAGGTGTTTTAAGTGATGAACACTCAGGTTCGATGGAGACACCCAGGTAGATATCGTCGTCTCTGTTTGCCAACTGCGAGAGATGACAACTGACTCAGTCAGACACACAGCTGATGATACATGCAGCACATATTCTCTGCAACCATCACTTGTAGGTATCGTTCATGCGAAACCGTGCTCGTCCTGGCTGAGTAATAACTAATTATATCTGCTACTATGTTTACTGATGTATAAATCGTTCCCACCCAAAAGTTAGACCTCAGATCCAAGCCATGCTGTGGCAAAATAATTAAACACAATAATTCTTACACCTAGGGTTGTTTGTTATGTAGTCAATGACTGTGCAGGTTTTAGAGTACTAGTACAAATGTAAGAACTTGGAAAAAACTACAAACGAGTTACCCAAAAATCAACAGAGATGCTTTAAAAAGGGTGCACAATGAGTCAAGCATTTCCTTGGTATCACTTTACCAAAATAGGTTTTTGGATATTGCATAGTACACTCAAACCTCATTATAGCAAAGCTACATCTTACATGAAAACAAGTCCGCTAGATCCGAAGATTCACTAAAAAGGTTTATTTCAAACACTATACCTATCGCAAGACTACTTTTCATTTACTTCGTTTAATCTATATTTCTTTATATCCGTGTTGGTTATATCAAGGTTTGAGTATATATAAACAACTTAGACACCAGACTATCCATGATTGACATAAACAAGGTGCTTATTCAACAGACCCCACGCTTTATTACCAGCCCAATTGATGAAAATTTTTCCTTTTCAAGCTTGACAGCCCTGTTTTCTACACCTTCCTGAAATAATCTCTCAAAACAATTGAAACCGCCTAGCCTCGTACTGTTAGTACTACATTAATTAAGAGTGATGATGCTTCAAAAAATTACCTTAAGCACTACAGCTTGAACAAAGGAAACAAGATACACAGTACTGTTAGAGGGCCAGTAAACAACCCCAAGGTCCAAAAATTATTGTAAAGAGAAATATGTGCACTTTTACTTCATGAACATGCTGCCACAAGAATTTTGCGAATATATGCTATATTAAGGAAGTTATAGGGTCTAGAAGATCGCATACAGCTGGTTTCAAATTTTCGCGCGGCCTCGCCACCCTTTTCCTTCAGAAGGAGGGGAAAGCGCGGCCCGTCGTCGTGACTCTGCCCTCTTCGGCAATGTGACAAGACGTCAGCGACTGACGTCATCGGCGAACTCGATCAGTCCCAATGCACTTCCGCTTGCTGTGATGCCTGGTTGTTTACTGTTTACCCGGTGCCGATGCTTCTCCGCAGCCCAGTCACTCGATTTGCAGCCGACAATGATTTGCAGCTAAACTGTGTTCCAAAACCCAGACATGAAGTCGGGCCCTATTTTCTTGAGTTCGATTTTTTGGGAGCAGACTGTCGTGCCATTTGGGAACAGCAACACGAAACACAAATAACGCTCTTAATAGTGGGTGTGCTCATCAACAGGTGGCACGAAAATCTGCTCACTCCCAAATACTGGGTCAGTGAAGTGTCCCGATTTCGATGCATGGAGCCTATGGGGAATTTCACAACACGTATGACTGAATAGCTCTGTTGCAGCAGTGGGTGAAAACAAGAACTGTCGTTGACTTCACTTCACTACTGTTTTTTGAGACCTGGTTTAGACCAATCGACGAGCTGCGTGCTGCGTTACGTCGCCCATCACCGAATAGTCACTGCGTGTGCAAAGAGCATTGGTCAAGCGTAGGAAAGGAGCGCAGGAATCATTTTTCAAAATGGAGGCTCTGCGCAGCACACAGCTCTCTAATATTCAGAAAACGTGATTCCTGCGGTCTACTCTACAAATTACTGAGCTTGTTAGGGGGTGGAAAAAAAAACTCGGAGCCTGTTGACTGGCCCTTTAATAAAGAATCAAGGACACTTACAAAGCAACGGTACTTTTGCATCAATACGGCTCTCTCGAGTATTCATGACAGCAAAGTAGTGGTCCTTGCCGATGTACCAGTCGCCAAGGCACTTGTACTGGACCTCTGAAAAGTACAGTATTTGCATGAGTATTAACGGTCATTTTCGCACTGTGCAGAACAACGTGAATAAAAGCCTTCACAAACAGCTGACACCGATGGCAATTCAACAGCTACAGCATCAACCGCACAGTCTCTTAAAGACAACTTAATGGGTTTGGATGCAAGCCTGTTTGGATAAATCCCTCATGAAAGAAAAACGACTCAGCCTTAAAACGTTGACCAGAAAAAAAAATACAAAGAAAGACAAGAAGACAGCACCATTCTAGTGTGTTCAATTTGTCCGTATTTTCAAGTAATGCCATACTAACGCTACTGTACAGACATCAGCAAGCTCAACTCAAACGGTCGGCAGCGTGTCTTGAAACAGTTTGACTGATTGCAGCACTGTGTAGCTTGGGTTAAGTTGCCAAGATATTGCCCATGCACGCTGACAGACTATCAAGCATACGAAGGTTTTGTATTGGCAACAGCGCCTCGCCTTTTGCGGCTCACATCAATCAAACCAGTCCAAACCCCGCTGCGAAGCGTTCGAGTTAAAAGTTGCTAAGACTGTGCACTGAGTGCCCTACAAGACTGAGACCACATTGAGACTCGGCCACTAATGTAACTACACCACTGTAACATTTTTGTTTGGCAAATTGATGCTCAAGCAATTTACTAAAAGGGACACTATAACATGACACTGCAATGTTGGTCTCCGTTTAGTGCAACAGAGCTGCTGTTGAACCGCCTATGTCAGACATTGACCGGCTCTAATAAAGACACAACCCACCTCCTTCCTCGGTCTCCTGCATGCCCTCACACTGCTTGTAATTGATGGTGAACTGCTGGTTGACGACGAAGAACTGAGTTCCCGGCATCTGACAGGCTGTTATGTTGGCGTCTGGATGCTTGCACTCGCCTGTGAACTTGTACGTGTTTTGGTATGCAAACTTCCACACGCCTTCCAGGCTCGAGCGACAATTCTTCGCCGTCGGGTTGGTTGCTGGACATTAAAAGAAAGCACGGGAGAAGAAAGGACCTATCAAAAAACAAGAGGTAATATGAACTGAGGCAATACGAATTCTGCGGAAGCCATTAACAATGTGCTCTTCTTCAAACTAGAGCACCTTGAAAAGAATGTACAATGCTCACAAAAAAGAGTGGTCCTCTCCTGATTGACATCCAGGGAGCGGCACACGGTCTTGATGTCAGGTATTTCGCCTTCGTTGAGGTTGACGCAGCCGGCTAGGCACAAGAGAGAATGTTTAGATAGTACAAAGTTTATAAACACAAACACCATGACAAACAACTGCCCCCAAGTACAAGATCTTCAGCAACTTGATTGCATTCTAGCCTTAAAAGTGAAGCTAAAGATCTGGCTCCCAGTATGTCAGCCATGTTTTAATAAACATGCCAAACACAATTAGGGCAAAGAATGTGAATCTCACGCGGACTCTTTCAATGGACATATTTTGCTCTTAGGGCTCGCTCAAACTCAGACTCCTTAATGTTTTCTGTACTGGACTAACTCAGACTCACACTCACCGACATGTTACTCAGACTTGGACCCATAGCTCGATCTGAGCCTGATTGAGTTAACTCATGAGCGCATTGGCTTAAAATTAGCTGTTACAACCATGGTTTCAATGGTCTTTAATGTGAATGTGTCGCACAATTGGGGCTATATGAGGCACCTTTTGAACTCGCACCTTCAAACACGAGTTATCAGTGATTTCAAACCAGTGAGAAAATTTTTTATGAACAACAAGACTCGTACAAGTTACTTTGATCAAGAACTTCCGGTGAAGAGTTTGTGGAGGAAAGTCGCGACGCTTTCAACCTCATTGCATCTGATGAATAAATGCCAGGGTCATTTATGAATGCTGGTGCATTGAAATATGTGACAGTAATTGTGAAAATAAATGCGAGCCGATAGCAGGCTCATATTAAACCTTTCAAAATGTTTGCCTTACGTGTACGGTGGTGGTTTTCTATCCCGCAGTGTCTTTGCTGTACGGCTACATATTTGACACTACGCTGGAAACATCGAGCCACAAGGACGATGCATGCTCGCTTCGAGGTGAAACCACCTTCCAAGACTTACAAAAAGGGTTGGAATTGATTGTGCTACATTCTTGCGGAGATAAACGGAACTGATTTCCAGCGTCAGCACATCCCGCAGTCGGCGACCACGTCGATAGACAACGGCCTTTCATGGCTTCCGCTTCGCCCTGTGACCGTAACGAATGCATGCAAAACTTCGTTCTCATCTTCATGTGCACTTGCAGGGGCGGTGGAAGTTGATTTCCATCTTTCTTCATGCTACTCTTGGCTTGTTTATCACTCACACTCGCGAGGTTTTCATGCTCTCCTTTATTACCGAGTTTACTGTTCCCTACGCAGCCGCATGCAAAGAAGATGTCATGTGTGTCTGCCAACACAACTCGTCGATGCATGAGAACGACAGAAAAGTACAATAAAAGAACAACCACCCATTTTATGCGTGCAGACTGCGATAAGGCGCTGTGTGCAGACCCGTGTTTCCAGGAACACCACGCTCTAAAACAGTATTGAACATTACGCAGTTCTGAGCACTACTGACAGCAAAATATTGACTCCGCACTTTTTTATATATTCTTCCTGGCTTTACAAATTTCCTGCATTAAAAAACCACAATAACGTAATCTGACCATCTGCAAAAGTTTTTCATTTAAATTCAGGTACTGAAAGGGTAAACGCTGATGATGGATAGATAGGTCCACAGGTCAGTAAAAAGAAAAAGAAAGGAGACCTCACTCAAGATCACTCAAGAAATACATCTTGCGCTCAAACCTCACTCGAACTGAAACTGGCCGTTATCTTCCTCAGTCGGTCTCAAACTTACCAAAATATCACTTATCCAGACTCACTCAAACTCATGGAAAATCCAAGTCCTATTGAGGTGATTCCTGAGCGAGTTTGCTGAGCTACGCCAAACACTGGAGTTTTTTTCGAAAAGTTGTATCCAGTACAAAACTCAGATTATCTGTGCTTCTACCTATGTGCTATGGTATGCTGCTTTGCTTTCATATTTTGAGGACACTCTTCATTTTCTGAGGGCAGGAAGGTGTGATAATAAAGCTTTGCTGTTTTGATATTCCAATAGTGTGTGTTATTATCTATTTAGCCTTCTTTTTTATTAGAAATTTGTTATTGATTTATTTTTTAGTGTCATCCTTCAGGTAATGTCAACGTAAGGTTGACTATTTAGTATCACATACAGGGTTTGTTATGAAAGTAATGTGCGCAATTTTATTGAGATGAGACTATACATGGCAACACGGTAAAACTGGTTGGGCAACGTGGTGGGAAACGTGCCCATCCAACGCGGCTGGTTCCCAGCTTACTTCGAGCAGACTGAGTGCAAAGACGTGTCTTCACATCAAATTTCTTTTTTTTTGGCTTTGTAACACGGTGCTATGGAGCATGCTTGCTTCAACAGCGATACGCTATAAAATTTTGCGTGACTCTTGGAAAGAATGAAACCGAAACAGCCCAGATGTTTCAAGAGGCCTTTGAGTACTACTGCCCTTCAATGTTGGAGTCTGGGAGGTGGCACAACGCGTTTAAGGAAGGCTGGGAATAGGTCCCCGATAAACCCATCTCTGAACGTTCAACGATGACAGGATACAGTGAAAATGTGGATTATGTGCGTGAAGTTTTGTGTTTCGATCGTTGATTGAGCAGCCGGCAAACTGAGTTTGTACCGCAGGAAGAAACTGCCAAAGCTGCTTTTTTACTAGAGGCGCTCAAAAGATTGAAACGCCAGGTCGCACGCGTTAAGTCTGACATTAAAGACACGGTCAAGCTGCGTCATGACAATGCCTCCAGCCATGCGTCCTTCATTTTAACCAACTCTCTCACCCTGAGCAACACTACACTGGCCCCTCATGTCCCTTACAGTCCTGGCTTGATTGTGTGCCACTTTTTTTCCCCGACTGAAAAGCGAGCTTACAGGGATGCACTTGGGAGAGCATGAAAGTACCTAAAAGCATGTTACCGTGTTTTAAGATACATTCCTGTTGAGGATTTTTAGGACATCTTCGATGCTCACACCTAGAAGGTATCGACGTCTTCGCAAGTCTACTAATGCTGGAGTGTAATCTAAAGAATTTTGGCTATTTGTGCAGGTCCGATCAATAAATCTATATTTTTCAGAAAATGCAAGTTGCTTTTATGACAGACCCTGCATGTTGTGTGAATTGCGGAAGCGTATTTCGTATTCTGATCCACGAATTCTTCTTCGATATCTGTTATCAGCCTTACTACTTTTTCAAAATACTATCTGGTTTGCACATGCCAGCTATCATAATTAATAAAACACCACCAAAATCTATGACACATTGAGACCAAGAGCTACTACAAGACTAGACAAGTCAACTTACTTTCAATCTTTTCCAAGACATTCAGGGTCCGCACAAATATGCGGACGCAGTAGTAACAGGCACTGAAATGAATGCAATGATTTCAGTTAGGTCAGGAACACCATCAAGTACAATAAAAATGTTGGTCATTTGGCAACCATCAATTACAAAAGCGACATAATATGGACTAGCCCTCTGGTTGCAAACAGGTGCACATTTTTCATCAAACCCTACTTTAGTGGAGTCATATTATTGCTAACCCTTGTGTACTTAACACCACTTCTATAATTTGAATGGTTGTCAAGGCACACTGATCTCAGAGCACTGGAAAAGGGCAATGCAAGACAGAAAACAGTGCTAGCAGCCAAGCAAATTGGTCTTCAGGCACATGCTTAGTGAAAGTTGCAGTATTTAAAATTAAGTTGAAATTGCAGGAGAAACATGAAGAAAAGCAACGCACCTCCCCAATTTAGTATTAGGCTTACTCGACCTGCACGAAGTATATGCTAACAAAGTGCAGTACAATACACTACATGAAAGTTTGTTAAACGATACTGCTGCTTAAATGGAACAAGTGCTTCTGACAAGATCGGTTTTATTCTGCACCCCTGGTCATCTCTCAGTAAATGCAACTCCTTTTAAATGGAACATATTTTCCTGGCCCCTACAGGGTTCCGTTTGATGAGACTAGTACTGTTTTAATGGCTTCTTTTGGAAACTACTCTGACGTGCAAATGTTTTTTTTTTCTCTTAACAGTAAGTATTTTTTTTATCTTGTTCACTATAACATTCAATTAAATTTTGGTGTTTTATGTTGCAAAATTATAGTGAATGAAAATATTAATAAATTTAAGCGTTAATTTTCTCTATTAATTCTCATGAAAGTTACAGTGGTATTATATGGCATGGAGGCAGTAGCATAGCGAAAAATGTTTTCCGCAGGGGCGGAAAGGGGAGGGGGGCTTCAACGATTTCTTGTGTATGTTGATTGATTGATATGTGGGGTTTAACGTCCCAAAACCACCATATGATTATGAGAGACGCCGTAGTGGAGGGCTTCGAAAATTTCGACCACCTGGGGTTCTTTAACGTGTACCCAAATCTGAGCACACGGGCCTACAGCATTTTTTCTGTATGTTGACGTGCACATTTGTATGTGTCCATATATATATATATATATATATATTGACGCGTGTGTACTGGTGGACCAAAACGACGATAAGGGGATTTGGCGGACACCAGGTAGTGGAGCTCTGGCTGATTGAAGATAAAGAAGGCGATCTTGCTGTTTGGCTGCTGAGAGTCCCTGTGTCAACGTTTATCTGCCTTTGGTTCACGCTGTACCGTGACACTGGTGGAGGTGCTGGGACGCAACCCTACCTAATGCTCCATACTCCCACTGGGAGCCGTTCATCTAGCTCGGACGCATTGTCACCCATTGCAACTCCCGTGCACCGGTTCAGTCGGCGGCTGATAGGCCTCGCTCCAGAGTTCACGCCTTCCACGGAACCTCGCAAGTGCCGATTACCTCTCCAAATGGCCAACGCCAGTCCGCAACCGGCGCCCCAAGGCCCCCTGCCAACACAGCCTTCACAGGTAACCATCTTTCAACCGCTGGTTCCCTATCACTTTAGTGGCGGCGCCCATGAAGACGTGGACTGGCTTGAGCACTATGAGCGTGTCGCCAAGATTAATCTGTGGCCTGAACAAGAAAAGCTCTCACGCGCCTATTTCTACCTTGACGGCGGTGCGAAAATTTGGTATGAGAACAAAGAAGCCAGTCTGTTAACTTGGGGCGACTTCCGACAACAGCTTGTCGATACGTTCACCAATGTCGATCGACGCGACCGTGCGCAGCAGCTGTTGGAGCTACGGGTTCAAAAACCCAATGAAAGCGTTACTATGTTTGCTGAAGATATGACTGGTCTTTTTCGTCGAGCTGACCCGAACATGAGTGAAGATAGGAAGTGGACCTACCTCATGCGCGGCGTTAAGGAGCAACTTTTCGCCGGGCTACTGCGCCACCCTCCAAGTACCGTAGTTGACTTCATCAAGGAGGCTACGGCTATCGAGCGGGCGCTCCATCAACGATGCAGGCAGTATCATCGAATGTCTAGCAGCGCCCCAATCAATGCTGCCGCCATACCTGAGGATCAAAGCTCCCTGCGAGACCTCATTAGGGAGATAGTTCGCGAAGAACTGCAAAAGTTCCGAAATCCAGTAGCTCAAACCCCCGTTGCGTCCGTCGCTGAACTGGTACGCGACGAAATCCGCCATGCATTTTCTACCGCTGGTCCTGGTGACGAGCACCGTCCCATGAGCTATGCCAATGCTCTGCGACGTTCACCATCTGGTACATCGCCACCATATCACCCAGTGCCGACGGCCCCTACGTCACCACGGCAAGAGCAGACCCTGAGCCAACCGCCAAGCCAACCGACGTACCACCAGGCGTCCACAGCAGCACCATGGACATCGTCGCAAGAAGGGAGGTTCAGACGTCCACCCCTCCGAAGAACAGACGCATGGCGCACAATCGATCGACGTCCACTATGCTTTAACTGCGGAGGTGCAGGTCATATTGCCCGTCATTGCTGGCACCGCAGTGATCCGTTCCGCCCTCTTCGAACATGGTCTGACGATCGACGTGCGAACGAAGAATACATACCACGCCGGGAGGACGCCTCTTTCCATGGAGCCCGTTCTCACTTTTACGAATACCGTACTTCTGACGAGGAGGCAATACCTACCCGCCAGCCAGGTTTGGGACGTCAATCCCGCTCTCCTTCTCCTGCTCATTCACCTTCGTCAGACCGACGTACCTCCGCGGACCTTAACGCAAGAAGGTCACCCAGCCCGCGACGGGGAAACTGAGGGCGGCGACCTCCGGGGGTAAGGTTGCAGGCCATGAAGATGACGACGAAAAGCCCCCATTACACGACGCTGTAAATCCGACAAGACGTGAGAGCGACGACATTGTGACCGCTGACCTGAGTGTTTTTCTTGACGGCCAGAAAGTAACAGCTTTGGTCGACACCGGTGCCGACTTTTCTATCATCAGTCAGGACCTCGCCATCCGCCTCAAGAAAGTGAAGACACCGTGGACAGGCCCTCAAATAAGGACGGCAGGTGGTCAGTTATTGATGCCCTCTGGAAGATGTACAGCGAGAATTGACATAGGAGGTTCTTCTCTCGTTGCGTCGTTCGTCGTTCTCGCCACGTGCTGCAAGGATCTAATTATTGGTATGGACTTCTTACGAGAGTACGGCGCCATCATCAATATCCCAGACAGTTTGATTACATTCCGCAACAGTTCGGGCGCACCTGATTGTACACAGGCGCGACCAAACCAATTGCGTCTAACTGATGACGATGTGGTTCTCCCTCCTCGGTCATGCACGCTTGTTTCTGTGGCAGCCGCTGTCCAGTTTGACGGCGAAGGAGTAGCAGACCGAATAACCTCGCTCCTTTTCACACACGGCATTTCCGTCGCAAGAGGTATCGTCAGTGTCGCCGCTGGACGCACGGACCTGCTTCTGACAAATTTTAGTGATGAGCGCCGGCACCTTCCAAAAGGCATGGCCGTCGCTTACTTCGACGATATCACAGACGCAGAAGGCTGCTTGGCAGTAGTCGACGAGGCGCCAGAACTTGATTCGACACCAGTCCTTGATGTTAGCACTGCTTTGCCTAAGAACGAGCGAAAGAGGCTTCTTGAGCTACTGGCCGAATTCAAAGACTGCTTTTCGACAACATCAAGAGTTGGCCGCACGCCTCTCACCAAGCATCAAATAATTACCGAGGACATGGCGAGACCAATTCACCAAAACCCCTATCGCGTGGCTGCAAAGGAACGCGAAGTGATACAAGAGCAAGTCGACAAAATGCTAGAAGATGACGTCATTCAGCCCTCAAAAAGCCCCCGGGCGTCACCTGTAGTCCTCGTTAAAAAAGAAGATGGCAGCCTGCGCTTCTGTGTAGATTACCGAAAACTCAATCAGGTGACAAAGAGAGATGTGTATCCACTTCCTCGTATAGATGACTCTCTCGACAGACTTCGACATGCTCGTTACTTTTCATCGATGGACTTAAGGAGTGGGTATGGCAAATCGAGGGTAGACCCAAGAGACCGCGAGAAGACTGCTTTTGTGAACCTCCGCCAGCGACTACAGACGCCTCCAGTGCTTGCCCACTTTGATGAGAAAGCCCCAACGATGCTACACACTGATGCCAGCAATATGGTTTGGGAGCTGTGCTTGTGCAGCTGCAAGAGGGCACAGAAAGAGTAATCGCCTATGCAAGCCGAACACTAACACGCGCCAAGACCAATTACTCCACGACTGAGAAGGAATGCCTCGCCGTGGTATGGGCGGTCACAAAATTTCGTCCGTATTTATACGGCCGCCCTTTCAAAGCCATCAGCGACCACCACTCACTGTGTTGGTTGACAAATCTTAAAGATCCTACCGGGAGATTAGCGCGTTGGAGTCTCAGGCTGCAGGAGTACGACATGACTGTCATACACAAGTCAGGAAAGCGCCACATGGACGCCGACTGTTTATCCTGCTCACCCATTGAATCGGCAACTCTATCCGATGAGGAGGAAACAGCATTTCTCGGCGTGCTCGACTCAACCGCTATTGCACAGCAACAACGTGGCGACCCTGAGTTACTTGCCCTAATTAATTACCTGGAGGGAAGATCTCAAAAGGCACCAACTGTTTGCGTAAGAGCGCTGTCCATCATTTTGCTTACGGAGCGGAATACTGTACAAAAGAAACTTCTCTTCGACAGGATCTGCGTATTTGCTCGTCATCCCAGCAGCCTTCGCTCCGAAGTACTCGAAGCATGCCACAACGAGGTGACTTCAGGCCACTTAGGTTACACAAGAACGTTGGCCAGAGTACGGCAGCGCTACTTCTGGCCAAGACTGACCATAGCCGTAAAACACCATGTTCGTACTTGCCTCGATTGCCCAGCGACGGAAGTCACCACCGACTAAACCAGCTGGCCTCCCTGCAGCCCGTGCAGGTCCCAAGAACACCATTCGACCAGATTGGCATGGATATTTTGGGCCCACTTCCTACTTCTACTGCTGGGAACCGCTGGGTTATTGTCGCGACTGATTACCTTACCCGTTTATGCTGAAACAAAGCCTATCCAGAGAGGTACAGCAGCGGAGTGGCACAATTTTTCATCGAGAACGTTGTCCTGCGGCATGGTGCACCAAGCGTCATAACATAGACAGAGGAACCGCATTTACGGCAGCTCTTTTGGAACAAGTCCTCATGCTGAGTGGCACAACCCATCGTAAGACCACCGCCTACCACCCGCAAACGAACGGGCTTACAGAGCGTCTGAACAAAACAATTGAAGACATGCTTTCTATGTACGTAGACGTCGAACACAAAATTGGGACGAAATCTTGCCGTATATCACATTTGCATACAACACTGCCAAGCAAGAAACAACCCAGATGACCCCGTTCAGCCTAATTCACGGAAGGGAAGTACGAACCATGTTAGATGCGATGCTAGCGCACGAATGCGACGTACATCGAACCGGACGCCAAGATGTTTACAGAACGAGCGGAAGAAGCAAGACAACTAGCACGCCTGCGAATCGAGCAACAACAAGAGTACGACCGCGAGCGCTACAATTCTCGCCGCAGAACAGTCGTTTACCAGACCGGCGACAGAGTATGGGTTTGGACGCCCATACGGAAACGAGGACTCTCTGAAAAGCTCCTAAGGAGATACATTCCTGTTGAGGATTTTTAGGACGTCTTCGATGCTCACACCTAGAAGGTATCGACGTCTCCGCAATTCTACTGATGCTGGAGTGTATTTTAAAGAATTTTGGCTATTTGTGCAGGTCCAATCAATAAATCTATATTTTTCAGAAAATGCAAGTTGCTTTTATGACAGACCCTGTATGTTGTGTGAATTGCGGAAGCGTATTTCGTATTCTGATCCACGAATTCCTCTTCGATATCTGTTATCAGCCTTACTACTTTTTCAAAATACTATCTGGTTTGCACATGCCAGCTATCATAATTAATAAAACACCACCAAAATCTATGACACATTGAGGCCAAGAGCTAATACAAGACTAGACAAGTCAACTTACTTTCAATCTTTTCCAAGACATTCAGGGTACGCACAAATATGCGGACACAGTAGTAACAGGCACTGAAATGAACGGAATGATTTCAGTTAGGTCAGGAACACCATCAAGTGCAATAAAAATGTAGGTCATTTGGCAACCATCAATTACAAAAGCCACATAATATGGACTAGCCCTCTGGTTGCAAACAGGTGCACATTTTTCATCAAACCCTACTTCAGTGGAGTCATATTATTGCTAACCCTTGTGTACTTAACACCTCTCCTATAATTTGAATGGTTGTCAAGGCACACTGACCTCAGAGCACTGGAAAAGGGCAATGCAACACAGAAAACAGTGCTAGCAGCCAAGCAAATTGGTCTTCAGGCACATGCTTAGTGAAAGTTGCAGTATTTAAAATTAAGTTGAAGAAATTGCAGGAGAAACATGAAGAAAAGCAACGCACCTCCCCAATTTAGTATTAGGCTTACTCAACCTGCACGAAGTATATGCTAACAAAGTGCAGTACAATACACTACATGAAAGTTTGTTAAATGATACTGCTGCTTAAATGGAACAAGTGCTTCTGACAAGATCAGTTTTATTCTGCACCCCTGGTCATCTCTCAGTAAATGCAACTTCTTTTGAATGGAACATATTTTCCTGGCCCCTACAGGTTCCGTTTAATGAGACTAGTACTGTTTTAATGGCTTCTTTTGGAAACTACTCTGACGTGCAAATGTTTTTTTTTCTTTTAACAGTATTTTTTTTATCTTGTTCACTACAACATTCAATTATGTTTTGGTGTTTTATGTTGTAAAATTATAGTGAATGAAAATATTAATAAATTTAAGGGTTAATTTTCTCTATTAGTTCTCATGAAAGTTACAGTGGTATTATATGGCATGGAGCCAGTAGCATAGCGAAAAATGTTTTCCGCAGGGGCGGAAAGGGGAGGGGGGCTTCAACGATTTCTTGTGTATGTTGATTGATTGATATGTGGGGTTTAACGTCCCAAAACCACCATATGATTATGAGAGACGCCGCAGTGGAGGGCTTCGAAAATTTCGAACACCTGGGGTTCTTTAACGTGTACCCAAATCTGAGCACACGGGCCTACAGCATTTTTTCTGTATGTTGTATGTTGATGTGCACATTTGTATGTGTCCATATATATATATATATATATATATATATATATATATATATATATATATATATATATATATATATATATATGTAATATTGAACAATTTTGAAGGGAGTCTGAACGCCACAAACCACCTGTCCGGCTACACCACTCAAAATGCGGCCTCCGCAGCTCAAACCAAATTTACAATGTTGAGCTCAGCAGTATGTTACAGCCATGAACAGTGGTGCTGTGTCCGCTCCGAAAGAGTCACACCATGGGCGGATAATACGGGGAGATGGGGGGAGGGCGGCAGAGTTTCCTCTTGAGCTGGCCTGAGATATTGCTTAAGAGCTTGACTTAGATTCTGGTTCATTGCCAACGGACTGTTGTGGGCCATACTGTCTTGCAGTTATTTCAGAGAAGACTCTTTCTGTTCACTCCTTTTGCTTTCAGGCAATTTAAAATTCGGATCATGAGACAATGACAACAGGGGAGTTGGCGCTGTGGATGCATTAAAAATGAAGTCACAGGAGGACAAAAACTGCAGAATTCGGACGGCTTTTGTGCAAAATAGGTATGGTATGTATGTATACACATCGAGATAATAACTATTTTTAATGTAACAGACATCTGTTTATTGTCAGTGCTTTCGATAAGTCTCTCCCTCTCTCTTCCTATATATATATATATATCTATATATATATATATATATATATATATATATATATATATATATATATATGTACACACACACACACACACACACACACACACACATGTGTGCATGTGTGCATGCGTACAAAGAGAGAGAGGAAGGTGGAGGAGCAAGTCGGGTGCCCCAAAACCTCAGAGTCAAATACTCTAGAAATCAGAACAATCGTGGTCTCGGTTTTGAAAGCACACATTTGAAAGCTATTATCAGAAATTTCGGTAGCGCCACATCTGGTAGCAGCAACAGCCACCTATGCCTGCAAAAACATGCATCACAGTTGAACCTCGTTAATACAGACAGTAATAGAGCAAGTTATCAGCTATAGTGAACTAAGTAATAACTTTAGTTGGTCACACTTTACCTCAGTGACACTCACTCTTTTCATAACAAAACTGTAAATATTGGCTTAATGGAGGAACATTTGGCTTGCGACTTGCTCAAAACTTGAAAGGTAGCAAAAAGGTCGAACAAATATTCTGACCACACCTCTCTTTGAATCATTTGAAAATTTTGCAAGAATCTTGGTCATCTAGTCCAAAGGAAAGTGCTTAACTGGTTGCTCCAGCGTACTAACCAAAGTTTGAAATGCTACTTTGGAGAGAAAGGTAAGACTTGCCCTATTTATAGTGGTTTGGGGCCTATGATGAGGTGTTTTTTGTATCAAAGATTTTTTCCCAAGCCTGATTGCCAACTTATTGAAATAGACTTTTTATTTATACTTTTATAATGAGTGTTGAATATATCGAACCAACTTATGCTCCAGATGCTACTTGGTTATAACTAGGTTAAACTGAAAGTGTACCATGATCACACTGTCTGAAGCTCACTGCTAAGCCTGCCACTGAAAGGCGCATTCACAATTCAGTTTTTATTTGCACTAAAAATTCGCAGGGTAGAAAAGACTCTAACCTGTACTCAAATATAATGGTAAAGTTGTCGTTATTTCTGTTGACAAGGTGCAGGCAGTCACCCCGGTTGGACATGCGGTTGTTATCGATGGTCGTGTAGGTGTCATCGCCGCTCTCCTTGGAGTACCATTCACCCTGTAGTGTCTGAGGTATCGTGCACCTTTCGTTAGGTCTCCGGTAGTAGGCATGTCCTGAGGAAAGAGAAAAGAAAGGGAAAGCTCGGCTTATACCTCTGCCACACGAGAAGACTTAATGAAAAAATATCAACAAGTAACGAAGCCAAAGAAAATATAGAAAATAATAATTGCACTGTTTCAGGCACATTGTAGTAATTATGATAGAGATGCGAAGAAAAATCGAATAGCTAAGAGCTGCCAGCAGAGACTGACCCTGCAACCATCAAACAATGTGCCCCATGCTCTAGCAATTTAACTTTGGTGGCATTTGTCCTCTTGTTGACTGCATAAGCCCCGAGAACGAAAACTGGCATCAACGTTGCCAGTGTTCGCGGCGATGTGACGCCACAGCACAGACACGCCTGCTCCGCCGGCGCTTGTCACCTTTTTTTCTGCGCCCACCGTGTACACGCTCTTTAGCGATATTGTTACGAGTAACTTGTTTAATGATCTATTTACAGCGCACAAAACCCGACAAGCAAGATGGCGTCAGACCAGCATCCAACGGAAAACCCACTTCGTCCTCCTCTTTCATGCAACCGTGTTTAGCGGCTGTTTTGTATCATAACCCCCGGCAGTAGAAGCACCGTCCCAGTGCTAAATTTACGCAGATGATGTCGAAGGGGGGAATAGGGCTTTAGCCGAGCCACGTGAACGGTGTCGCTCGGAGCTGACGATGACTTTGTTGGATCGGTTGGAACAATCTCGTACGTGACGTCTGTCACTTGGGGAACGATACGGAATGGTCCAGTGTAGGGCAACAACAGTTTTTCCGACAGTCCCACACGCCGAGTAGGTGACCAGAGGAGCACGAGAGAACCCGGAGAAAAGTGCACGCCCATATGGTGAGAATTGTAGAGCTGTTGTTGGCGCGCCTGTGAAGCCTGTAGACGATTACGGGCGACTTGGCGCGCGTGGTCGGCGCGGGCAATGGCTTCACCAGCATATTCAGTGGCCGCAGGTAGTAACGTGTCTAAAGGTAGAGTTGGGTCCCGGCCATGTAGTAGATAGAAGGGCGAATATCCGGCAGTGTTGTGACGAGATGAGTTGTAGGCGAATGTCACATACGGCAAATGAATGTTCCAATCATGGTGGTCTGGCGCAACGTATTTGGCAAGCATATCGGTTAGGGTCCTGTTAAGGTGCTCCGTGAGGCCATTTGACTGGGGATGGTACGAAGTAGTAAATTTGTGCTTGGTATGGCAATACTTCAGGATTTCATGAACGACAGCTGATAAGAACGTGCGGCCACGGTCGGTGAGAAGTTGACGGGGAGCACCGTGCACTAATATTATGTCGTACAGCAGAAAGTCCGCAACGTCGGTAGCGCAGCTGGTCGGGAGTGCTCGTGTGATTGCGTACCGCGTCGCGTAGTCCGTGGCAACAGCAATCCATTCATTTCCGGCTGTGGAGAGGGGAAAAGGGCCCAACAGGTCGAGACCAACTCGAAAGAAAGGCTCGTTGGGAACGTCGATCGGCTGAAGGTAGCCGGCTGGGAGGGCAGACGGCGTTTTGCGATGCTGACAGGGCTCACAAGCGGCGACATAGCGTCGAACAGAGAGGGCAAGTCCAGGCCAAAAAAAACGACGTCGTACCCGATCGTATGTGCGAGAAACGCCCAAATGGCCCGTCATGGGAGCGTCATGAAGTTGATGCAGGACAGTGGAATGCAGGTGCGCTGGGATGACAGGAATTAAGTCTGATCCGAAGGAATCAAGGTTGCGGCGATATAGGATCCCGTCTTTCACCAAAAACATTCGTAGGGACGGGTCGCGAGGCGTTGACTGCAGTTTGTCAATGATGGCTCGTAAAGAAGCATCCCGACGTTGCTCTTCGCCAATGTTTAACAGCTGTGACACAGAAAAAACGTCCGTGATAGCGTCAGTATCGGTTGCTTCGTCAACAAAGTAGCGGGATAAACAATCCGCATCCTGATGTAATCGCCCTGTTTTGTACATTACAGAGAACGTGTACTCTTGAAGGCGTAGAGCCCAACGAGCGAGACGTCCCGTGGGGTCCTTCAGGGAGGCTAGCCAGCAGAGCGCGTGATGATCCGTGACAACACGGAATGAGCGCCCGTACAGGTATGGGCGAAACTTGGCGACTGCCCATACAAGGGCGAGGCACTCGCGCTCCGTGATGGAATAGTTGCGCTCGGCTGGAGATAGCAGTCGACTTGCGTAGGCTATAACACGGTCGTGTCCGCGTTGTTGCTGCAATAGCACAGCTCCTATGTCCACTGGCGTCCGTGTGAACCTCGGTTGGGGCTAATGTATCAAAGTGAGCCAAGATTGGTGGCGTCGTAAGCAATGTCGTAAGTTGCGAAAACGATGACACTTGGTCATGGCCCCGGGTAAACGAGGCGTCTTTCTTCAAGAGGTCTGTGAGTGGGCGTGCAATGGTCGCAAAGTCCTTAACAAAGCGTCTGAAATATGAGCACAACCCCACAAAACTGCGGACATCCTTTCTGGTCTTCGGAACGGGAAAGTTCGTGACTGTGCGAATTTTCTCTGGGTCTGGACGCACGCCTTGAGCATCGACAAGGTGACCGAGCACGGAAATTCGACGACGAGCGAAGCGGCACTTGGAGGCGTTAAGCTGGAGTCCGGCTCGACGAAAAACGTCCAGAATATCTGACAAACGATCAAGATGCGAGTCGAATGTGGGCAAAAAGACAATAACATCGTCAAGGTAACACAAGCAGGTGCACCATTTCAGCCCTTGGATCAATGAGTCCATCATTCTTTCAAATGGGGCTGGTGCATTGCAGAGTCCAAAGGGCATCACCTTAAACTGATAAAGACCATCAGGAGTGATGAATGCGGTCTTCTCGCGGTCCATCTCGTCGACGGCTATCTGCCAGTACCCTGACCGAAGGTCAATAGTTGAAAAATAAGTGGCACCGTACAGGCAGTCGAGGGCGTCGTCGATGCGAGGTAAAGGATAAACGTCTTTTTTGGTAATTTTGTTAAGGTGACGGTAATCGACACAAAAGCGCCATGTTCCATCTTTCTTTTTAACAAGGACGACTAGAGAAGCCCAGGGGCTGCATGAAGGCTCGATAAAGTTTTTCGCAAGCATTTTGCCGACTTCATGTTGTAATATTGCACGCTCCGACGCCGACACAGGGTAGGGACGTTGATGAATGGGGGTTGCATGGCCAGTATTTAAGCGATGGGTGACAATAGTCGTTTGGCCCAAAGAGTTGCTGGCAAAGTAGAAAATGCTACGATAGCCCTCAAGAACGTGGCAAAGCGCTGCAGCTTGCTCAGACGTGAGGTCCGATGACACCATTCGCTCGATGTCGGCGCCCCAAGAACGTGATGGAGTGGAACCACTGACTGAGCTGCAGCAATCGTCAACTCTGAAGGGCTCAACATGGTCATCTTGGAGAGCAGTAATTTTGGCCAGGGAGATACCCTGTGGCAGAACTTGGGTGGTGAGTGAAAAGTTGACCAGTGGAAGGAAGGTGCGGTTTCTCTTAATCGTCAAAATCATATGCGGCACAGCAACCCCATGCGTAAGCATCACTGCAGGAATCGGGGCCACCATGTAATCACCATCAGGTACTGGCGGCGTGGAGGATAAGTCGACATGTGTGACAGAGTTAGGAGGGAGGCGCGTGAAATCAATGCAGCAGAGGCTGGTTTGCGGTGGGCTGGTCGGGTCAGAAAAGAGGGGTAAATTGAGATGGAGAGAGCCAGCTGAACAGTCTATGAGGGCAGAGTGTGTGGCTAGAAAATCCCTACCGAGAATGAGTTCATGAGGGCAATGTTTGATAACGGCGAAAAGAACGACAGTGCTTCTCTCCCCAATAGACACTCGCGCAGAGCACATGCCAAGAATTGCGGCAGTTCCTCCATCGGCGACTCGTACAGCTCGGTTGAGGGCGGGCGTGACAACTTTTCTAAGTCGGCGGCGAAGGTTAGCACTCATAATGGACACATGCGCGCCAGTATCTATCAATGCACTGACACGAACATTATCGACAGTAACGTCCAAAAGGTTCCGGTTCGTTGTTAACGTTAATCGAGGATTTCTTGTGAAGGTCGTCAACGCAGCTCCACCTCCAGAAGCTGCACGGCCTAGTTTTCCGGTCGGAGATGCTGCGAATAGGTCGGGAAGGCAGCACGGCGTTGTGGGGGCGACCGGGACTGACGACGAGCAGGGGACGGTGACCGGTCGTAGCGAGGTCTGCTCAGAGGTGCTGTAGGAGCGGAAAATGTGGTCGGTGTTGATGGAGAAAGTGGTGGGGACTGGCAAGCAGAAGTGGTGTGATACTCAGGTGCATAATGGGACGGTGGAGCCCAGCGGCTGCGGCAGTGACGAGCGATATGACCAACGCGTCGACAATTAAAACATATGGGCCTGTCATCAAGAGTACGCCATTCGAACGGATTGCGTTGCATGCGAGGTGCAGAAGGGGTACGATAAGAAGGCTCAGCAGAGTATACGGTAGGAACAGGATGTAGGCCGACATTCGATAGCTCTTGACGAACGACCGCTTGTATTAAAGAGATCGTGGTCGGGGAAGGCGCAGGCGTCGGTAATGGCGTGGATACCGGTTGTGCTGCCTCGATCTCTCGACGAATGATGCGTGTAAGGTTGTCACATCGAGGGGCCTGGTGGAAGGCGTCGTCACACGAAAAAGTGGCCGCTGTGTTCGGAAGGCGCACGATGCTTTGGGCTACGCGGCGGGCTTTAGCTTGTTCAAGACGTCGGCATTCTTTAAGGATTGTGTCGATGCTCGAGACGTTGTTAAAAACCAGCAGGTTGAAAGCATCGTCAGCAATGCCTTTCAAGACGTGGTTAACCTTTTCGTCTTCCGACATGGACTGGTCGGCCTTGGAACAAAGGACCAAGACGTCAAAAATGTAAGAGATGTACGATTCGGTAGAAGACTGGGCCCATGTGGCAAGAGTCTTCTTCGCAGCGAGCTGACGACCAGATGAATCGCCAAACAGGTCACGTATCTTTTCTTTGAAGAGATCCCAGCTCGTTATGTCGGCTTCGTGGCTTTCAAACCATGTTCGGGGAGTGCCGTCCAGGTAGAAAAGCACGTTGGCGAGCATGAGCGTGGGATCCCATCGGTGAGTAGCACTGACACGCTCGTACCGCTTCAGCCAAGTGTCGAGATCGATCGTACCATCACCGCAGTAAGTGACGGGATCCCGGAGGTGCGGTAGTGTGACGTAGGTGGTGGCTTGGACTGATGAGGGTGGCGTAGAGGAAGTACCAGCAGTCGAAGCAGTCGAAAGGTCACCGATGGTGCGACCGCTGCGCGTCTCCATCGAGGTACGGGGGTCGTCCACCTCCACCAATAATGTTACGAGTAACTTGTTTAATGATCTATTTACAGCGCACAGAACCCGACGAGCAAGATGGCGTCAGACCAGCATCCAACGGAAAACCCACTTCGTCCTCCTCTTTCATGCAGCCGTGTTTAGCGACTGTTTTGTATCAATATGTTGGTGATAATTCCTCAATATTGTGATGCGAATTTCTCAATATACATGTTACAAGGTCTCACAACTAGTAAAAGTTTTTAAAGCTGTAAGAAGTTTCCAAAATTTAGCTTAGCATAGACAGACTCCCGTCTGAACGGAAGATTCATTGTGAACATGGTGATCCAGGAGAAGACATGCGTTGTTTTTAAGTGCTTAAACCACAGAATGGGTGCTAAGAAAGTATGCTAAATGATACTAACGTTATTACAACTAGGCATAGACTCCGGGATTAGGACGTGTCTGTGCCAAAGTATGCGAAACTAAATTGGGGCAATTTGAATTTACTAAATACATTATGCTTTACCGTACCAGTTACGCCTGCATCTGTGAATGATGTAAATGATTTGACAGAACAGCGCTTTCTCCAGCAGGAGATATTACATGAATATGACTTTCATAAGCACTCACGTAACATATTCGTCAAGCAAACAAAATAACACTACAGCACACACAACGATTTCAGAAATAAGATATTTCCTTCACTGGGATCACATGTACGGATTTCTTCTCAACAGTCACCAGGGATTACGTAGTCCTATACCCTGATTTGCATGAAATGCTGGAGTGTTCTACCGCCGCGTCACAAACGCTAACAAGTACTTCACGTGGGAGCACCGCTGATAGTAGAGATTCCAACACAGACGTCAGGAAGTCGAAACGAACTCTTTCTATGGCGCACTCACGGACGTGGTCCAAGCAGTGGCATAAGCAGAGGACGGCTTACCGGGCCTGTCCCCCTACCTCCGAAATTTTTTTCCCCATGCAGGGAAAAAAATTACTATTTGAAGCAGGTGCCCTGCCCCGACCCCCGAAAAAAAATTCAACCTGTAGGCTTCTGGACCCCTGTAATAACTAAACAACCTTCGCCTAGATGAGGCGACGACTAGTCTCGCACGTCATGTCCACCAAGAAGTAATCAACTGCAAGAAAATTGAACATATGAGGTGGCTATCTAAACCGATAGTTCGAAGCGTGACACAACAGCGGGGACGATATTCTAGGGTGAGCGCCATACGGCATATGTAGAGATACTCGATGCTTCATGCGAGCATAGGGCTTGATACACTTGTGAAACCTCTGTCGGTAAATGCGTGGATTCCTCCGGTAGAAATTATTCTAGGGGAGGAGAAGCCCTGATATCATCGAAAGGAATCCCCCATGCACATCTCAACCTTATAATGTAAATATGATGTCTTAATTCCTTCAAAATCACATGGTTATGCATCAAAGAGTTTGTTGTATCCAAACAGAAGCATGTTCTTAATTTTCATACCCATCGGAATGCGGCTGTCGTCGCCACGAATGTAATCCATCATCGGGGTTAGCAGTGCGACACATTTTCACTCATCTCACATTGTTATACGACCCAGTGCGTGATTCTAAACTTTTTGTTGTTTTACCTGAAACATTATTAAATCTGTTTTCTTCATTTGTCAGCAGCTTGAGACAAACATTGTAAAAGCCCACGAAGCCAGCGCATAATCATATAGGCGCACCGCGGCTCACGTCGAAGAGTCCGTGCCGTGACATCATCCCCCAGGCGGCGCCTCTCCTACTTCACGGGGCTGATAGAGTATTTATGTGCATGCGAACTAAGGAGTGTTAGTCAGTGCAGCTCATAGCGTCAGGTTAAATGTCATTAGTGCCTTTCGATATCTACATCTATTGTAGCTTGTTGGCTGCCACACAGGCAAGCTAATATCATTACATAAAAATAACTTGTGCAAGCGAATGACTTTTCCCAACTCATTTCAGTGTGTTTATGTGGCGAGAGAGTAATGTAACCACACAGTGTACACTTACAATTATGTAAGAAATGGTAAATAATTCTTCACAAAAGCTATTACGTTTCTGTCATCAAATGCATTGTTCTATATTAAGCAATCAATTAAACATATTTGTTCTAAAAAGTATGAACATCCTATTTTTGGCAAAACTGTCAAAAATGTTGCCAGCGATGTAGCTGTTATAACGTCCAACTACCAGCCTGTGTACCACCAATGGCCTCAATGCAGTCTGACAAATATCTGCTCTAAACTCTTTTTATTAAGACTAGATATACATGACATTTTTTAACACACTGTGACTTTCGTGCTCATTCCGGCCTTTGTTGCATTGCAAGCGACACCATCTGCGAATGACATTACATCCTGCCACGTAGCAGTGTATGGCACATATCATCATTTGATGCGTCAAATATCATTAGCAACAAACGACACTAGACGTTCCCGTGTGACAGGTGTATAAGTCATACAAAAAGCGTGGCTGCATTTAGGAAGAGACAGGAACTCGTGTAAAGGCACGTACAGCTTTCTTATGAACAAGTTCTCGGAACACCCAGACTACACGTTGCTGATAAGTGACATTTTGAAATACAAGTTCTCAAGACTTTGCCAGTTGTAGAGTACAAGTGTTCAGGAGCGTTATATCCCGTATTAGCTGAATTCTTGACCCCGTACAGTTTTGTGCACAGTGATAACTGCACAACACCAACTATTTAGCCTGTGATGCAGTGCTTTAAGACAATGCAATCTGCACAGCACCTTCATGCAGGGTATTTTGTTAACACACTTTCACCCCAATTAAATAGGAAAAAGCTTCAGCTGAAGCTTAACCCATGAGCAACAGCTCAAACCAATGAGGCTTACGACGATAAAGAAATTTGACAAGTCGTGTGACCAACGTCCTTAGATAAGGAAAAAAAGAATGAATCGAGAACTGAGCCCCCCCTCCCTTTTTTTTTTTAAGCACAACCGCACGATGCCAACACATAATGTAACAAAGATAGCATAAAGGGTGTTATTGGTAACCGTAAAGGGTGCCAAATGCAGTAGCTATGCGTTAAATGAACAAAAAAAAAAGAAAATACTTAAAAGGAGCCCGATACCAGATCACCGACGGTAGGGACCTAAACCCACAACCTTGGCACTGGCCGAAAGACGAAACAACGAAGTGAGGCGCAATAACTACTAGCTTCTGCATTTCTATAAAAACACCGAGGCACGCTCTACAGTAGGGCTCCGTGGAACGCAGTTCGGCGAAGGACACTGGATCCTTCCGCCAGGAAAACGTGACATATCATTCGTGTTCACGAGCTGAGTCACACGTTTACGCAGAAAACGCGACGCGCGCGTCAGACGCAAAACGGTTTCGTGTATCATTCAATATGCACAGGATTACCTCTGCAGCGTGAGATGGGCCGCTACGAAGTCAAATTATAACCACGAACTCGAAACTGGGTGAACACGACCAACACGACCACTTCGGAAATGGGATCACGACCGAGCAGACTTGGAAAGTAGATTACAAGTTGAGGCAAGCAGCGCGGCATTTTTCGCGGCCAATCCTTTCAAGATCAATGGAAGCAATATGACAATGCACCAAGTCAGAGACACGTAGATAACACGTAAGCATTCAAACAAGAGCGGTAAACAGGACGTAAACAGCGCTAACAAGAAACACCTCCTTGATCTAACGTTTAGTGATAGCTCTTGCGAACAACTTTCATTCTTCTATACAATCATTTCTCTTCCCGTCCGCGAGAGCGAGAAGGACTGACGATAGCAACACAAACAGCGATAACGGTCGATCTAAAGTATCAACGGTTGAATGTTCCGGACAACGCCTATCTCCCGTGCGATCTGCGCAGCGGACGTCTCTACGGACAGACGGTGACTGAACGCTATCGTTGCAGTACGATTCGCGATAAATAGCTTGAACGGTACTCACCAGCTGATACAACCGAAGATAAGATTAAAATCCTGAGAAAGTACGAACGATAGCTACCTCCCCAACGCTGACATTCCGAGGGAGGCGCCATGTTTGCAGCGATGGTGTTGCTGTTTCTCCGCTTTTCCGGTTGGCGCATGGCCTCCAAGATTACGTTCCTAAAAACTTGCTGGCGGGCAGTCTTGAAGGCTAGAACTATTGCGAAGTAACTTTTGAAGCTTTTCCACATTGTATCTCAAAATAAACTAACAAAGCAATTTTATAATTAAAAATACGGGGTTATAACGGACTTTTCATAGGTGGGTACCTGAGATTTAGAACCTAAAGCGAAATTGGGTATCTCATGGATAGATGAACGCCATTTGTAACCATAGGGTTATTGTAGTGTATGTTTGAAACGGTCTTATGCCTCAATCGTCTATTTGTAATAAATATATTCTGCTACAAGAAAAATAAACGTTATTGTAAAGGGGCACCCTTCACACGAACCACTTCAAGACGTCTTATTGAGGGCACCGCAGCCGAAGTGGGAACTGCAACTGCCGATGCACGGCGTTTAGCTACAGTTCTAGTACCCTCTAGTTTAGCTGGCGTGGCCGGCTACCCGCGCGTTGTGTATTCTGTCGGAAACACCTTGGTTGGAAACGTGTTGCTTAAGACGGTTGGAAAGTGCTGCGTTCCGTTGTGTCACCTGCGAGATTTCATTATACAGTCAAAAAGATTTATTCAATAGCCTCAATTCCAAAAGGCTCTCAGTTAACCAATGGAAACCGCACCATCAAAAAATTATCCTTGATATCAATAATTTATTGCTCCTGCATTAGGAACTAATTTATCCAAATTTTTTTGTCAGAAATAATTTACAAAGAATCAATATTTCTGCTAATATTAATTAGGCCAGGATTTAAATATTTATTTTCCTTCTTGTTAAGTTACCCAATTATTGGCCGGTCCGCCATGATGGATGTGAGTCACAAGGTATAGGATCTACATCTACCAATGCCTCCTAGTTGGACAGACAGTGTCGCATATGAGCGCACAGTAGATGTGTCAATTTCATTGTGGTTCTGGAAGGCATGCTGTGAATTGATATGTAGAATGCTTGTCTGCGCGATGCACGGTGCGCGTTATAAACCATTGTAAGCGCGTTGCAGTGGCTCCTAGCCGTATTCGAAGCTGGAGTAAATTCCGACATTGCCAGCTTTTGCGGGTCTGCCAGAACGAGACCCACACTGCGAATGAAAGGAGTGTGCGTTCGGTGAACGTTAAAAAAAAACCAAGTGGTCGAACCTCCCTCCCCCTTTCCTTCGAGAAAAAAAAAAGTCTCCATGATATATGCGCAAAAAATAATAATGTACTACCTCTGCCGGCCCGGGCCCAAATCAAGGTCTGCCCCATCAACCAAACATTTATTCCAATGGCCCTGCCGTCTGCGACTTCAGCTCACAGGTTTAATTCCTTGCTTATAGATTGCGTCGGTAGAATGGGCTTAGAGCCACTGTCACCTACTCTCAATGTTGTTTTGATCTACAGGCGAAAACGTGGTCAGCTTTGAGAACTGATTCATCTTCTCAGATCTGCCGTGAAATATAACACAGCTTACGAATGCAGCTGTAAAAAAAAAAAAAACGACTGGACGTTGGTAATTTTACTGAAACATGAAATTGCCGTTTAGATCGCGGTACGCAAGACCTTGCAGCATGCACATTCAAGGGCGCAAAATGATACGGCTGCCTGATCGCGTTTTTTTTTATCATGATTTGACTTTTTATATAGAAGCTCTGGAACAGAACCAATCATTCGTAATTTTCCCCCATTTGTGGCTCGATGGCGATCGAATGTGCAGCGTGTGACCACCATATAAATTTTGCGCAATGAATATTAGGATTATGCCACAGAGAAAATTTACAACTCTGAATGAGGCACGCGCGTGCGTGATTCCCACGTTTGCCCGCAACGATAACAGAAAGGTTGCTGCTGCATGCGACTGCATTAATAGGGAGCTTTAGAATAGCGCACCGCGAGCCCTTGCGGTGCGGTCGCTGCCACTGCGCATGCGTCGTAACGCGAGTCGGCATTCACGTTCGCGGACCATACGCAAAAAATCCGGAATCGCGTGCGTTGATGACGGCCCGCAAGTGGCCCGCAAGCGCGTGTTTCGAGGCTACGGTGTCACTGCGATCGTGCGTTGCGGATCGCAGCAGGGCAAACGCTATTCTAAAGCTCATATGGCGCCCGCTACGCCCACAGCGCTTGCAAACGGTATCCTAAAACTCCCTAATGTTCTGTCGCTTCCCACGAAACGCGAAATCCGCTTGCGCTCTGCTTCGTAGGGCTATGTGTGCTAAACAAAGATGCAATTTGCGCACGTTTGTCATGTAGACCGCGGCCCCTCTTTAGACGCAAACCTACAGTGAATCAAGTAGCTTGGTTGCACGCATTTCTTGCCGCGAAAGTAAGTTTCTTTACCATTAATAGGGAGTTTTAGATTACCGTTTGCAAGCGCTGCGGGCGCCATATGAGTTTTAGAATAGCGTTTGCCCTGCTGCGATCCGCAACGCACGATCGCAGTGACATCGTGGCCTCGAAACTAGCGCTTGCGGGCCACATGCGGGCCGCCATCACCGCCTGTAGCCTCAAAACCAGTGCTTGCGGGCCACGTATGGGCCGCCATCACCGCACGCAATTTCGGATTTTTTGCGTGCGGTCCGCGAACGCCGACTCGCGTTACGACGCATGCGCAGTGGCAGCGACCGCACCGGCAGGGCTCGCGGTGCGCTATTCTAAAACTCCCTATTATCTATTTGACACCTCGATTCGACATGGAATGAGTTGACACCTTTTACAGAGGTGGCGCACTCGGCCGCCGTGGTTTTCATTCAGGTGGCCATAGCAGACGACGCCAGTGGTGAGGCATTATGAGAAGCGTAATACTTTTCCAGGGTAGTTATTTAGCTCTTCGTATAGTCAGAGAAGAAGCTGCAGCAGCAGTTTATTGATTTCGTTTAGTGAAGTACAACAAATAATAATAATATTAAGAGTAAACGCGAAAGTGACTGCGGGCTGAGCGCGAAAGGGTGGCGGCGCTATCCAACCACGTACCATGACGTACGTCACAGAGACGCCTCCGCATGGTGGCGCCACGGAATGTCCTCGCGCCCAATACGATGAATACACGATGAAAAGATGTGAGATGGCGTTACTTGGAGTGTTCACTAGAGAAACGGATTGACAGACACAGGAGGGCAGAAGGATGGACAGACAAAGGGATGGCCGCACGAACGGACGCACGGACGGACAGACAGACGAACGGACGGACGCATGAATAGATGGACGCACCGACGGTCACACAGATGGACGCATGGACCGAAGCAAGAATGAATGATGAATGGACGGACGGAAGCACGGACTTACGGACGGACGCTTCGCCCCACCAATCACCATTCACTCCGTGGATATGCTGTGGTTTTTTTTTTATTTCAGTGTTCTTTCACAATACTTCTCGTATAAGCTAGGAATAGCTAATACCACAAACTTAAGTACAGAATATTAGTATTGAAATGTTTAAAAGAATGAAGAATTTAGCTCGATGTTCTTTTAGTCTGACTGACAAATTCCTCTATGGCGTAGTAAACATCCCTGTAACTGTAGCCCAGAGTAGAGGCACCAAAAATAAAGAATAACTGATTCGGATATTTCCAGACCGGTTATGCTGAGTCTTCTTCTAAATGACGTTTACCGGTGACAGGTGGTGGTGGTGGTTGTGGTTGTAAGGGAGGGGAAAAAGGCACCTAATTTCTGTCTGCCTCAGGGACGACACGGCGCAGTGCCTTATAGGTGTGGGGGGAAGGAGGGATAAAAAGAATAGAAAGAAAATAGATGAATAAATAGACAGGCAAGCGACGGAAAATAGAAAGAGATAGGAAAGTGGGGATCCGGTCGAAGCAGTCCAAGGGCGGGGCACCACAATGCGAGAGCTGCACGGCTTCAGGAGGCCGCGGAGGGCGAACCAGTCGGCGGGAGCTACGCTGGCGTCGGAGATCGCGAGGGCACAGGAAAGAAAGTAATGACTGATTGTTTCGTCCTCCTTACAGAAGGGACACAGAGGAGACGGCGCTCAACCTGCTCTATCAGTTGAGGAAGGTGACACGGCAGCGAAGTTTAGTTTTAGCCATTTCCATTATTCTAAACTGCAATAACTCACCGTTCCAGGGAAATAATAGGTGCTTATATTCTGAAGAAGCTGTAAAGACAGGGTGAAGAAGCTGTCAAGACAGCTACGTTTAGCATTCCATCCCTTTAGATTCTCGTATGGTATCCCCTACAATCACAACAACGTCTTCCTTTTTCTCCTTCTCTGATGGCTCATACTGAATGCAGGGCCGAGTAGTAGAGGAACTCTTTCAGTATTTTTTTAGTGTACCGAACAAGAAGGGAAATCTGGGCTAGTTGTTAATAGTTCATTTTTCGATAACTCACAGCGCAAGAAGGAACGAGGACGCAGACGAACAATAAGATTGATTGATATGTGGGGTTCAACGTCCCAAAACCACTATAAGATTATGAGAGACGCCGTAGTGGAGGGCTCCGGAAATTTAGACCACCTGGGGTTCTTTAACGTGCACCCAAATCTGAGCACACGGGCCTACAACATTTCCGCCTCCATCGGAAATGCAGCCGCCGCAGCCGGGATTCGAACCCGCGACCTGCGGGCCAGCAGCCGAGTACCTTAGCCACTAGACCACCACGGCGGGGCAGACGAACAATAAGACAACACGTATACTACTCGTATGATCTAGATTTGACTAATATAACGAATTTAGGTACGAAATAATAACAATAAAATGGATGAATAATTCAGCTAGATATTCTTTTAGACTGACCGATCAATTTCTCAACGGCGAAGAAAACATCCCTGTGACTGTAGTTTAAAGTAGAGGCGCCAAAAAGAACACCTGATTCTGACATTTCCAGACCCAGATTTTGAAGAGGCGCTGTTATGAATATTTTTCATGATGACGGGAACCAGCTACGTTATAGAAACAAACGAATAATGATTTCCTCCTCATTAAAAAAGACGTGCAGAAGGGAAGGCACTATACTTGCTA